TTTAACTCACCCAAGGATATGCTTTTATTGATTTTAGAGAGAGAGGAAGAATTATATTTGGGTGACCACCATATAGATTCAGAAAGAGAAAATTACTAGTACCTCTTGCTGTTCACTTATCCCCAGAGTTGAGGCTTTTTCTGCATTTTGGGTTGATCTCTCCTTTGCTTTTATTTATGCTTTACCACTTACCTATATATAGCTAAGCAATATTTATTTGGTTTAAATTTGACTGATTTTGAACCCTAGAGCCTCAAAAGGGTGACTAAAATGTAATTCCTTTTTGAATATGCAATATATTTACATAGAACAAAATTCAAAAGGTACTACAGCATACAAAATAAGTCTATAAGGTTCAAAATCAGGAAACACTAATGCATACATGTGGCAAAAATTTCATGCTGTACCAAACAATAAGTTTTCTTCCCTTTTCTGTTCTTTTCCCCATTTAAAAAAAATTTTAATTTATTTTAGAGAGGGAGGGAGGGAGAGAGAGAGAAATATTCAATGGCTGACTCCTGCACGCGCCCCTACCAGGTATCAAACAGAAACCTGGGTATGTGCCCTGAGTGAGAATTGAACCCGCCACCTTTTGGTGTATGGGATGACACTCCAACCAACTGAGCCATACTGGCCAGGGCCTTTCCTGTATATGTGTGTGTGTGTGTGTGTGTGTGTGTGTGTGTGTTTTCCCTATTTCTTTCCAAAGAAAATTCTGTGCATATAAAATATATGTAGCTATAGATATACCCCCTTGCTTAACGAAAGTGGTCAGCACAATTAAGTATTAATATTCTACAGTCTACACCTTGTTTTGTTATAAGGCTATGAGACCATTCCACATCAGTATATATAGAACTACGTTATTCCTTTTAATGATTTAATAACATTTCCTTGGGCATACAAATGGTCCAGGAATTATTCAATCAGTTCCCCAACTTTTAGGTGTTTTCAATCTTTTTCTATTTCGAACAGGGCTACAATGGATTGCATCTTTGTGTTTGAGCCTATCAGTAGGAAATATATCAGGAAGTGGTTATCCCATTCTAAGGCTTCCCGCCCCATCACCACTTACCTGTCCTTGAGAAGTTTGTCAGATCCAGGCAGGTGGGACAGTCTTGTATATAACTGTCCTCCCCGGGTGCCTACAGTGCCACCATGCTCTCCGCAGGCACTCAGAGTGAGTGGTTTAAGGGCTAACACTGCAAACATTCACATTGTACCAGATGGCTCTAGGAAACCTTTGTAGATATCCTGGGCCCCTCCCCCCAACTCATCATTACATTTTCTTCATTCATTCCACAAATATTTCCAGAAGGTTGATAGGGGACCCAGTGCCACATCAGACCAGGAGGTAGCCTTGTAGGTGAGTTGTGACAAATTCTGGAAAACACTCGAAATTTGCACTGTCCAATAAGGTAGACACTAGTTACATATAACTATTTATATTTAATCACAATGAGATAAAATTTAACATTGGGTTCCTTAATCCCACTACCCACATTTCAAGTGCTCAATAGCCACATGTGGCTAGAGACTCTGTATGATCACAGACATAAAAGATGTCCATTGTGCCCTGGGGACAGCCCTGCAGAGGCAGAGTGGTAAAGTGGGCTCTGAATTCCTACAAGCCCGGGGTTCAAGTTCTGTCTGCTACTTCGCAGCTGTAAAATTCGGGCAAGTAGCCTGACCTCTCTTTGAGCCTCAGCTATAAAAGGGGGGCACTGCAGACCCTCCTTCACAAAATTTTGATGAGGATTCAGAGAGATGGCCAAGGCGAGTGGCTTTGCTCAAAGGTATAGTAAGCTCTCAAAGATCAGGAGCTATTGTAATTATATATAAATATGATAACCGCTTCCATTTCTAGCAGTTTGAAAATCCTGAATTCTGAGGGTTCCATCCCATATCAGCCCTGCCTAACTAACTCCCTTGGGAAGCTGGTGGTCCACAGCCTGGAGTATGTGTATAATCGGAGCTGGTTCTTCTATACCCCCTGTCTTAAAGCACAGAGCTGCTCAATCAACCTTTGATGAATGAAGAAATGAATGAATGGGGCCAACACAGAATCTGACTGGGCTGTTTGTAAGAAGGAGAAGGAGGGTCCAGGAAATCATTATGATGATGTTTCAAATACAACTGGCCTGGTCATTTTTTTTTTTTCCTTCCTGCAAGAAAAAGTATCTCTCTTGGAGAATTACCTTAATCTTCCTTCTCTCACCTACTGCCCACTCCTCTGGGACAATTAGCCAACACCAGGAGCTCAAGGGTCTTGGTCCTTCCCCCTTTGGCCCAAAATTACCTCCTCCCCCACTTTGAGCAAATGCCTGGAATTCTTTCAACAGGAGGACAAAGCCTTTCATCTGCCAATTACTGATAAAGGGAAAATGCAAATATCGCTGGGGAAGGTGATCCATCAAGGGCTCAACATTTATTGAGTGACCACTTAGGACCATGCTGCAGGGTAGGCATTCTCGGGGGGGGGGGGGGGGGGGGGCAGAGGGGAACAAACCCCCGGCTGGCCCATTCTTCTCTCTGGTCTTCAGTTTCCTCAGGGTTTGTAAAAGGAGGGGATTAAATTAGGTAACTACTCTACCGTTCCCACTCTGCCATGCCAGGAACTGCTCATCCGGGTAATATATGGACTTAACTGTTTTTACCCTAAGGTGCCTGTCATCGCATCTTTTCCTGACACCATTTTTTGGGGGACCCCATGTGGCCACATGGGGAGAGAGGTCTTGAGGAGGAAAGAAGAATTAAGATCCAGCCTTCTATTTCAGTTTTGCTTTTTTCCATGACCCCTCCAGTCCATGCACCTTCCTTTGAACATGTTTGTTTCATGATGTGGGAGCAGTAAAGATAGTATCTGAAAAAGCATGTGATGTCTAAGGCCTGGGTATGAGCCCCAGCAACCCCACTTACAAGCTGTGTGATCTTGGGTGAAGTGGCTTTGCCTTTCTGAGTCGAAGTTTCCTCATTTGCAAAATGAGGAATAACAAGACTATTTCCCTTAAAGCAGTGGTTCTCAACCTTCTGGCCCTTTAAAAACAGTTCCTCATGTTGTGACCCAACCTTAAAATTATTTCCGTTGCTACTTCACTACTGTAATGTTGCTACTGTTATGAATCCTAATGTAAATATCTGATATGCAGGATGGTCTTAGGCGACCCCTGTGAAAGGGTCGTTGGACCGCCAAAGGGGTCGCGACCCACAGGTTGAGAACCTCTGCGGCTTAAAGGGTTCTTATGAGATAGAAGGAAACAAAATGGTCCCTGGTTCTTGATAGAGGCGGAAGGCAAAACCCTTCTTACTCCCACTGAGCCAAAGTGAAACAAATTTTTGACGTTTGCCAGCTAGTGGATTTGGATTAAAACAACTTCTAAGTAGTCTTTGGCGGAGGTGGGGAGAGAATACAAAAAGATAGAGCAGGAAACTTTAAGGTGAGTGAGGGGGAAGCTGTCTCTTGGGGTGACCAATAGGAGCTGATGATTCACATCCAATCTCCGATGAGGGAAGCCACTTCCTCTCCACATGTCTGTCTGATTGCTCTGTTGACATGGGGATGACAGGAGGGCAGAGCAACCTCCAGAATCATAACTTCCCTGAGCTTCAGTTTCTCTTTCTGCAAAATGACTTGCTCTAGCTCTCACACAAGGTTAATGGCAGAAAAGATACAATATTAAAAGAATGGCAAGTATTTTTACCACGCCTGCTATAAGCATCTATAAAGTCCCTTTACTTCTTTCCCAGCCCCATGTCATCTAATTGTGATATTTACTCCCAAGGTCAGGCCTACATGGCCTAGAGGACTGTTTTAGGGCCAGCTTTTCTCACAACCAAAGTTGACCTGACTGTTCATTTAGGATTTCAGGTTTGAGGGTGGTCACAGCGAACCAGGTATGTGGACAGGGAAGCATACCCAGGTCTAATGGCACTCCATATATGTATAGAGGGTGCCCACACCTCCGCCAAGAAGCCTTATAGGATTAATCAAGGGGCCCCCAGAGCTCCCTGTGCCACATCCCAGAGAGCCTTGCATCTTTCCGCAGACTTTTCTCTTATAAATGGCCAATAAAGGCTTACCCTCCGCCTGTTTGCCAGCTGTGTTAGGAGGCGCCAGATCCAATTCTCTCGGTATTTCACTCCTGAGCCTCTATTTCCTCCTGTTGGCGAGCGCAGGGACCTTTAAAAAATGTTCAACTTCTGTTCCAGGGCTCATCGCTTAGCAAAGCAAAGGACTCCACAAGCGCGGGCAGAATGAATGAATGAAAGGCAACATCTTCCGGTCAGCTCGGATCTGAAAAGGCGCTGGTCTGGCTGTATTTCCTGCATGTTTGTGTGTGTGACTGTGTGTGTATGTCCATATCTTTTGAGTCCGGGAGTTTAAAAGTTATGCAGTTCGCACAGGTATGGAGCCGTGCTAATTTCTTCCTGAGCCCCCAAATGCTTCCTCCTGATGGTAGGTCCGCACATGGGGGGTCCGGGAGGATCGTCCCCACCCAAAAAGAAAAGACTTGCAGCAGAAAAAAAAATATTAAAAATGCTTTGAATTTCGCTCGGCCCCGTAGGGTAATAGGATGGGGTGGCTGAAGGAAGAGGAAGAAGGGTAGCCCGTGGGCAAGGGGGGCAGGAGTTGAGCTGGGGGTCGTCTTTTGGGGTGCCAAGCCCCAGGGGCTTTCACGCCGGCTTGCTCTGCTTGCATTTCCGTGCCTCCCACTGAGGCCAGCCGTGCAAATCTGCACCTCTTCCCCCACCCGCTCCTCCCCCTCTCTCCCTGCCCCGCCATCTCCGGGATGCGCCCTCCGCCTGCAACTCAGCCTCCGAAAGGCAGCTCTGCACACAACTCCCCGGCGGCGGCGGCGCCTGCGTGCAGAGGCACACTCGTGACCCAACAACAAAACAGCGATGCCAGGGCGCTAACGGCGCCCGGTGCCTCCCGGGCGCCCTTCCCGCCCCAAACCTCTCCGGGCCGCCGCCCCCGCCCCCCCGGGTCCCAGGCCGAGTGCCGCCCCCCCTTCCCCAACCCCTAGCCCGGCCGCGGGCTCAGAGCGAGATCGGCAACAATGTTTACGTTCCGGGGATTATGACGTCGACGCCTCCCCCCCCCTACAACTGCTGAAAATGGTTTCCTAGGACTTTGCAAACGGATCTGCTTAAGTGTTGGTGCAAAACTTTGTAGATCTCGGCTCTGGCTTGCTTTATTTATTTTTTGATTTGTTTTCTTTGGTCTTCTCTCCTTACCCCCTCCGCCAAAATGCAGGGGACAGGAGTGTTGACAATTAATTGGTGAACTCTCCTAAAAAAATGGAGGCAGAGAAAGACTCTGGAAGAAGATTGGTGTGTAGCTCCCCCCCCCCCCCAATCTGTATCTGGTATACGATAGATCTATTTTTTGTTGTTGTTGTTTCTTGCTGTCTTTTCTTTCCTTTTCTGTTTTTTTGCAAGAGGACCGGAAAAAATATAATAAATTGCATGCAAAAGGAAGCCAGCAGCTTACTCCTCCAGCCCCTTGTGAGGCTCAGAGTCTCAGACACTTAAGTGGCGAGGTGGTAGCGGGGAAAGGCGTGGAAGGGGGCTGAGCGGGCTTGGGGGTTCGCCTGGAATCTGGGGGGCTGCGGGGTCGGGCGCCGGGCGGTGGAGGGAGGAGGCAGAGGATGCGGGGAGTGGCGGGGGAGTCTCCTTAGGAAGTGAGTGTGCGCGCGCGCTTGTGGGGAGATGAGGCAGCTGCTGGTGCGTTTTGGGGTCTCGGATGGGAGCTTTGTGGCGGGCGGTCTGCCTCTCCCCCACTTAAGCCCAGAACCCCCCCTCCCACCTCTTCTTCTTGCACCGGAGGGCGGTCGGCGGGGGCAGCTGGGGTCTCAGTCCTTTCATTTCAGCTTTCCAGCTTTCCCGGTAGGTCGGGGGCGGCTCCAGTCTTAGAAATGCCGCCGGCCCCGGTTCCGGCTTCCCGGCTCTGCCGCCGCGGCCGCCGGGTTGCTGTGAGCGCCGAGCCGGGCGCCGCCGCGGCTCCACCCGGGGCCTACCAGTGCCCCGCCAGCCCGTGCGCGGAGCCCCCCTCGCGGGTTACATAACCAGGCTCCCGGCCGAGTGGGCAAAACTCAAACCTCTCGGGGGTGGGGGGCAAGGGAGAGCCCCTAGATGTCCCTTCCATGGCCTCCAAAGACGCAGGAGGGGAATGCCCTGTACAGGGCGCAGGCGGACACTGGGGGTGCGGCCCCTCTCAGGATCCCGATTTTCAGCATCTTTGGCATTTGCGCAAAGTTGCTCGGGTGGCAGTGGTGGGGTGCAGGGGGCGCGCGGCTTCTGCACCTGTTCGAGCTGGCCTCTTAGTGAGAGACGACCCCCCAGGACCCCCAGTAACGTCCCGGGCTCTCTGGCTTGGGTCCCCGCAGCGCCCGATTGACCGCCAGAGATACGACGAGAACGAAGACGTGTCGGACGTGGAGGAGATCGTTAGTGTCCGCGGCTTCAGCCTGGAGGAGAAGCTGCGCAGCCAGCTGTACCAGGGGGACTTCGTGCACGCCATGGAGGGCAAAGGTGAGGCGCCCCCTCCTTCAGTGCCCTCCGCGCTGCGGGCCGAGCGCACGTGGGGAGGGAGTTGCCGGTGGCTGGGTTCGTATTTCGCGCCCGCGTCCCCCATTCCAGGGGATCCGGTGACGAAACGAGGCCGAGCACTGGGGGGGTGGGGTGGGGGGGGGGTGGCCAGGGAGGAGGGCAGACTAGAACCGGGGCCGGGCGTGGGCCTAGGCCCGGCCCGCGCCCACCATCAGCCCCAGGGTGGGCAGAGGCAGGGGTCCGGCCGACAGAGGGACCTGGGGACGAGCGAAAGGACGGAGGGGCAGACGGAGGGAAGGCGGGTGCGCCGCGGTCTACCCCTCCCGGAGCCGGCCCAGCTACTTGCGCGCTGCCCGGCTGGAGCCTGACTGGGGCGAGGGCCCCCCAAGCCTGAAGCCTCCCAAACTCTGGCCGTTTCGGGCCCTGCCAGTGAGGAGCTGGCGCTGGGGGCGCTCAGGGATCATGGAATGACGGGCCTCCTCAGGCCTGGGGTCTACGGAACCCCATCACCTGGGGGGCTGTGCCAGATTGGAGCGGGGTTCCGTTGGACTCCCAAGTTGTTGGGCGGAGCCCCCCCTTAAGCCTGAGGCCTCTAGCCCCGCAGCCCTGACAGTTTGAAGCGGGGACTCGGGGTGAGGGAGTGACAACCCTCTGGCTTAAGGCTGAGTTCCCTGTTCCCTGGCACTTTAAACTGGAGACTTGGGGCACCCCTCTAGAATTCTGGGTGTCTTCTGGGGCCCGAGACCTTGAGAACTCTGTCCCTCTTGAGGGCCCTGCCAGTTTAAAGCAGGAGTTGGGGAAGCCTCTAGGATTTTGGGGTACCACCCCCCGCCTGGTACCAGGAAGGTGACTGGGGATGTGCTCTGGGCCTTGGGGTGATGCTCTGGTTTGGGCCCGAGGCCTCCAGAGGCCCCCTGGGGTTGGTATTGTGAAGGCACCCTTGCCTACCTAGGCATCTACCTCCCTTTGCCCTCCTGGGGTTTGTAAGGTTATCCTCCCCCTTCAGAGATTGGAGTTTCCTTTCTGTTACTCCGTTTCCGTTTCCATTTTGTTTGTCCCCCATCCCCCTTGGAAAACCGTTCCATCCATCCCTCGGTGAGCTGATAGCTGCGAAGCCCTCCCGGCCCCCAGGTTCCGCTTGAGTGGTTTGCCTGTGGGGTTAGCCTGGAGAGAGAGACTGTCCAGGCTTTGCATTTTGAAGTTTCTCTTTTGTGCCCACTGTTTCCTGGGGCGCCGGGCTTCCGTAGTAGGGGGAGTTGCAGGGGGGAGTTGGGGGTGGGAAGAAATTTCTGCAGCCTGCCTGGTTTTTCTGGGCATCTTTGCAATCCAGGGGCCATTCTCAACTTCATTTAAATTTCCTTAGCACAAATGGGATTTTAATTCCTCTCCTTTCTCCCCCCCTGGTACTGAGGAGTTGGTGGATCCTATGAGGAAACAATATGCAAACTCTTCCTAGCCATTTGTGAGGAATTCTCTGCCCGGGATCTCCGGCCTATTTGAGGAAGCTGAAGCTGACCCTAGGGGTGGGCTATGGGGGGGTGTGTTCCCAAGGTGGGCAGGGGTTCAAGCAAGGGAGATTCCTTAAATCTGCTGTCCAAGCTCCTTTCAAAGGAGAGGGCCCTAGGGTTTTGGTAGTTCATTCAGATCTGGCCCCCGAAACTCGGTGGGGGAGGAGCTGCCAAACAGAAGGAGCCCTGAGCCCGGATTCAAAATAGAAGCTTCTTAAACTTCTCTGCCTTTAAATCCTTAGGAATCCTCATTCACTCTGAGCCCCTGGGGATCTGAGCTGCTAAGGTCAGGGCTTTCCCCAGCTCTGGTTTTGTTCTCTCCCTCTCGGAGCTGAGCTGCCTTGGCCTCCTCCCCCTCTAAGTGGCCCCGGGGAACTGTTTCACTGGGGCAGGAGCTCCTGTGACCCGAGAGCTCTTCTGTCTCCCTTCTGATGCGCCAGGGAGGCCCTGTGCCCCTGTGGGTTGCTTCCTTTCCCTGAGGATTTGGGGATGTGAGAGTTTATCTTAGCCTCCCTCACCTCCAGAGTTAGGGTGGGGATTTGGGGGTCTGCACTAGACAAACCCCAGATGGAAAACTATGCTGTGAATTTTCTGGGGGCCTCTCTGTGTCCCCTTCGCACAGCCTCTGCCTGGGGAGCATCCCTCTCGGTTATCCAGTTGGAGCAAGTATTGTGATGCTGCCGCAGAACGTCACTGTTAAGGCAACAAAGCGGTGCCCAGTTCCCTAGTTATTTTGGCACCAAATACACAGTTTCCAGGGAAACCGACTTTCTCCCCCCCCCCTCCCCTTCACTATACAGGATATTACAATAAGATCTTCCCCGATGCTCAGCTACAATGAGAATCCTCCTCCCAGCCTCCTCTCTGGGCCTTCAGATCCTCCCAGGTGGCATTCTTCAATTTTGCCGTCCCTTTACTTTCTGGGCTCAGCTGGGGATGAGTTTCTCTGTCCCTCTGTCTCAGCAGTAGCCGGGGCTCCTGTGTGGGGCTCTTTCCTGAGTCTGCCTCCCCAACCCTCGCCATCCTTGATCTAGTCATTGACAAGTTCCGACCCGTGGGGCATGCCGGGAATGACTGAGTAGGCAGAGGAGCTGGTCATTGGCATGGCTTCTTCTAGACTTCGCTTAATCCATTTCCCTGTCATTTTCCAGGGAGCTTTTGCTCTGGAGCTGGTGTCTGCCTCTAGTGTAACCCCTGCCCCTTCCTCCATCATTTTTCTTCTCCTAACCAACTGACTGTGGTTCCTTTGCTCCTTCATGACTTCACCAGCTTGTTTTAATTCCAATATCCAAACAGATTTCAACTATGAGTACGTGCAGAGAGAAGCTCTGAGGGTTCCCTTGATATTTCGAGAAAAGGATGGACTGGGAATTAAGTAAGTTGCTGAAACTAATTGCTCCCCCTCCTCACCCCGGTCTCCCTCCCTAACACAGTTTATACCTTGGGATGGATTTCTCATAGCATTTGCTCCATCCGTCTTTCATCACGAGGAAGGCTCTTTCTTCAGTATCTGCGGGATATAGTATCTCCTTGTTCAAGGCCCGGCAAAGGGAAAAAACTCTAAAGATTGGTCTTTTTCAGAGAAGTTGGGGAAAGGATATAGGGTGCTCAAACAGTGTTGACTTTTCCCCCTGATCCACCCCAGTTAACACACAGTGACTTCCTTAAAGAGAGTGTGCCTCCTGCCCCAAATTAGGAAACTGAGGCAGGGCCTGGACTGGGAAGGGCTTGGCCAGCCTCTAAGCCCCAGACAGGGCACCCAGGTACATATATCTTTTTAAAAAATATATGTTTTTATTGATTATTAGAGAGAGGAAGGAAGAGGGATAGAAACATCAATGACGGAGAAACATCGATTGGCTGCCTCCTGCACAACCCCCACTGGGGAGCGAGCCCACAACCCAGGCATGTGCCCTGACTAGGAATCGAACCGGTGACCTCTTGGTCCATGGTTTGACATTCAACCACTGAGCCACACCAGCAGGGCACTGGGTACATATTTCTACTCAGACTCCCATTGTGTGGGAATTGGTCTGTTTCTGTGGAGGATGGGTTCCTAGGAGACTAGGCCCCTGTCTCCCTTTCTGAGCCTGCCCAGCACCTGCCTCCTCACTGGGACTTGTTTGGTTTACTTTGTCTTGGAGACCTGTCAGGGCTCCAGGTCGGGAGACATCTGGGAGACAGCCTGGAAGAACAGGTTTCCGCCCCTTGGGCAGGGGTGGGGAGGAGGCTGAGGGTGTCATCTTAGCCTGCTGCCCTCTCCAGCATCCACGGCTGCCAGACTTGCTCAAGCCTCTCATTCCTATGGATTGAAATGAAACCTGCAGCGTCATTGTTAATTAATAGTGAATGTCACCATAATCATTATCGCCTCCTTGCCATATCCCTGGAGTTGGTATGGTGAGTGTGCCTCCCTGCCCCCTCTAAACTTAGAGGGGTCCCTCCCACCCTCTATAAAACTCATTATGCAGAATGTTTTTTAGAGGGAGACACACAGAGAGGGGTACCCACACTAAGAGAAACAGGGGTTTCAATGCCCAGCTCTGGCTCTTACCGTTGACACTACCCTTCAGACTTCCCTGAAAAAGTGGGCAGACAGTGGATGTTCCCTTTTTTCTGTAGCGGTGTGAGTTCAGGAGTCAGGGAGCATGTGCGGGTTTGGTGTGCCCATTGGTATGAGGAAGGGGCTCAGCAGTGACCCTCCCTTGACCAGCTGGTCAATCACCCTCCCTCTGGGTTGTCTCAGTTTGGGTTCCCAAAATGAGAGCAAGGACCCAGCCCAGCCGGCGTGGCTCAGTGATTGAGCATCAACCTATGAAATCAGGAAGTCACGGTTTGATTCCCAGTCAGGCAGCGTGGGGCGTGCAGGAGGCAGCCGATCCCTGATTCTCTCTCATCATTGATGTTTCCATCTCTCTCCCTTCCTCTCTGAAATCAGTAAAGATTTTTTTTTTTTAAATGAGAGCAAGCCCTAGCCGGTTTGGCTTAGTGGATAGAGCGTTGGCCTGTGGACTGAAGGGTCCTGGGTTCGATTCCCATCAAGGGCACATGCCCGGGTTGTGGGCTCAATCCCCAGCAGGGGACGTGCAGGAGGCAGCTGGTCAATGATTCTCTCATTGATGTTTCTATTTCTCTCTCCCTATCCGTTCCTCTCTGAAATCAATTAAAAATATTTTTTTAAAAATGAGAGCAAGTTCCCCTTGCCCCCAGAGTTGGGTTGAACTCTCTGGTTTCTGGCTTCTCATCAATGTCTGCTCCTCATTTTCTAGGATGCCTGACTCTGACTTCACAGTCCGAGATGTCAAACTCCTAGTGGGTAAGTTGCTTGCTGTGTGTGGCTCAGAGATGCTGAAGTAGGGAGGGGGAGAAGGGGAAGGAGGCCTGACCACCTGCCTGCTTAGGTTTTAACTGCCTCTGACAACAAAGTCCCCGGCGGGAGGAGGCAGGAGCAGGTGTGAGCTGCAACCGCGTCATTGTGGGGAACAGGTCAGATTGCAAAGTCCTAAGAAGCTGGATCTGAGGGTGTTTGCCAGTGCGAAGTTTGACGAGGCTGATTTGGGCCCTAGCTTCCAGCCTGGGTGTCAGCGACGCAGTCTTCAATCTCTCCTTTGAGTTTCCTTATGAGTTGCAGGGTAACTTTCGGCATGCTTTATGACCCCTGGAAGACTTTCAGACTTTCCGGGGGAGGGATTGTTCATTCTTTCCTGCTTCCTCAGGGCTCCAGGCAGGTCTGGGGCGGGCTGGCCACTGATTGCCCAGCAAATGCCGATTAAGGCCCTGAGCATCTGCAGAGTAGCTGCTCACTGAGAGCTCCCGACTCCCGGTGGACCAGGTAGCAGGCGGCATTTCAGATTTCACAGGAAGTTGTTCGATCAGTCCATCCTTTCCAGACGTGTTTCTCAAGTAGCTCCCGAATGGCAGGCAAGTTCAGAGCTGTGATCATGACAGACAAGATCCCTGCCCTCATGGTTGGAGTGATAGGCAATAAAGAAGTCAACAATTTTGTGGTTTTTTTTTTTTAAATAACTTTTATAGACATTTTTCAGAAGTCAACTGTTTTTAAAAATATGTATCATTTGAAGGGTGACAAAGGCTAAGGAGAAATAAATCAGAGTAATGAGATGAAGCATGGTGGTGCTTCTTTAATTTTTTAAAAATTTATTAATTGAGAGAGAGAGAGAGAGAGAGAGAGAGAGAGAGAGAGAGAGAAACAGAAACATTGATTTGTTGTGCCGTTTATTTTGCACACATTCATTGATCGTTTCTTGTATGTGCCCTGACAAGGGATATTGGGACGATGCTCTAACCAACTGAGCTACCTGGCCAGGGCCTATATGATGGTATTGTAGATGGGGTATTCAGAGAGGGCCTGGGTAGTGGTGGTGTGAGGACATTTGGACAGAGATCTGACTGATGAGAAGCCAGCTGTGGGAAAGACCTTTCCAGACTGTGGGATGAGCAAAGGCAAAGGTCAGGAAGTGTGGGAGGAACAGAAAGAGCGAGGGGGAAAGTAGCATGAGAAGGGAGAGATCACAGGGTCAGGTTCATCTAGGGTTAAACATTTTTCCAAATATTGAGATAAAATTCCCATACCATAAAATTTTGGGTGTACATTCCAGTGGCTTGCAGTATATTCACAATGTTGTGCAACCATCACCACAATCTTATTCCAGAACATTTCTGTCACCCCCAAAATAAGCCCTGTACCTTCCAATTCCTCTCTGCCTCTATGGGTTTATCTATTCGGACATTTCATATGAGTGGAATCATGTAATATGTGCTCCTTTATGTCTGGCTTCTTTCTCTGAGCATCATGTTGTCACGGTATATCCACATTGTAGCAGGTGTCAGTACCTCATTCCTTTTCATGACTGAATAATATTCCATTGTATGGACAGACCACATTTTGTTTATCCATTCTTCAGTTGGTGGACATTTTGGTTGTTTCTGGTTCGTAGCTATTATGAATAATGCTGCCATGAATATTCACGTACAAGTCTTGTGTGGGCAAACGGTTTTATTTCTCTTGAGTATTTAGCTAAGAATGGAATTGCTGGGTCATTCAGTGACTATATTTAACCTTCTGAGAAACTGCCAGACTGTTTTTCAAAGCAGCTGCACCATTTTACATTCCTATTAGCAAAGTATGAGGGTTCCAATTTCTCCACATCTTTGCCAACACTTGTCATTGTCTGTCTTTTTGATGAGAGCCACCTTAGTGGGTGTGAAATGGTGCGATCGGATTGAAGTTTTGTAAGAGCCCACTCTGGCGGCTGCGTGGAGGATGAAGACAGCTGACGGGTGGGTGTGTCAGATAATCCAGCGTGAATAATTGATCCCAAAGTGTGTCATCTGATACTCAGAAGGGAGGCCGGATCTGCTGGAAGGAGATGGCACTGATGACAGAAGGATCTCGGCTAATTGTCAAGGGCTTGCTCAAAGGATAGATTTTTCTTATAGGGGGGGATTAATGGTGATGGGAAAAAATAAACAACAACAAAACGATGTTCTCAAAAGCAGGGATTCCAGAAGTGCTGAAGGAAGTGAAAATCAGAGCTGAAGGGAGCAAACTTCCCAACGGTGGGCCGATGGGATGATGGATCCTATAAATCAGGTCTTGGCCCAGGCAGCCCGCTCTGGTGCCTCAACCCAGCCCCAGCCTTTGCTGTTAAACAGCCTTGGTTGGAGGTCCCACTTTGTTAGCTGATGGGTGATTTGGGGAAAGCTACTTACCCTTCCTAAGCCTCAATTTCCTCATCTGCAAAGTGGAGCTAATTGGCTAATCGCAGAATCTGCCTCAAGGAAGGACCCTCTACAAGAATGAATGCGTACTCAGAATTATGCTGGGTGATGAGTGCTCAATAAATGGTCCCCGTTATTCTGTATTATAAATGCAGGACATTGGGCTGGTGAGATGCTCTTTATGACCAAGGATTAAAGCCAGATTCTCAAATCTGGGGTTCAGGCAACATCACTGTCTTACTGACATCGCTTTTGGCCCTTTTGAGGAATTTTCAAGTCCTTGGCGGTTTCATTATGGTCTGGTGTGTCCAGGCCGCCTCTTCTCTCCCTGAGCCTCATTCTTCACACTGTGGAAGCAAATCAGTGGTTATGCCCTTGCCAGCTCTTGGAAAGTGTAGGATGGCAAAGGAGGCAGGACTAGTAATACCTGCACAGCCTCTCCTGGCATTTCTGTGATGATCAAATGATCGGTGACTATCAAAGTGCTTTGTAAAGCTGTAGTGAGCTCTGCCGCCGTGAGGGAGGCCTATAATTGTGGGTAGCGTGGGGTGTTATTATGCCCATCGTGGTGCACACAGACATCCAGAGAGCGGCAACGGGGCACCTTTGTCATAGCAACTGAAGTGATAAGTGTAACTCCAGCTGGCCTAACCAAAACAGAATGAGTTCAAGGGGTGTCTTGATCTGGGTGCTCCAAGAAGATCTCAAGAAGTTGACGCATATTTTTCCTTCCTGCTTCCTCTTTCTTTCTGCTTCATTCTTTGGCAAGCTTTTCCCCATGTGGTGGCAGAGTTGGGGAGCCAGCAGCTCCAGGCTTCCGTCCTGCCAGCTCAGGGTCCTCCTCCCCAACCCCTTAGTAATTCCATCAAATGTCTCTGCATGGGCTCTGATGGGCTTAGCACACCCCGCCCAGCAGAACCACGTGCACTGGGCATAGAAAGGAGGAGCTCTCCAGGGTCGCTGGGCAATAGGAACATGCCCCTGCCACACATGGGAGTTCTGCTTTGGAGGGTGGTGTACGGGGGAGGCTGGCCCACCCCCTCCAGATAGTGCGGGATCTCAGTCTCTGTCTTCCAGCCTCCTGCCCCCTCCCCAGGTCACTGAGGATTGAGATGGCCTACAGCAATGGGGTCTTGCATATTATCTCTTTCTGACTGGGACCCATGACCTCCTGGTTTATAGATCAACGCTCAACCACTGAGCCACACCAGCCGGGTGCATATTATCTCTTTATTGTATTTCTCTCTACTGAGGATGCCCAAGCCAACTGATGTCTTCTTTGGCCCTTTTTCTTTAAAATATTTCAGGATAAATCACCTCATTCAATATTCATTTATTCTTTTAATTATGGAAATAATCACCTGTCTTTTATTAGTTGTTTACCATATGGCCGCATTTTGTCCTCACCAATAATCATATAAATTAAGTGCCATTGTTCACTGTTGCAGATGGGGGATCGGAGGCTCAGAGGGAACAAGCCACACCGATGGGGTCAGTGAAGCCAGGCCCTGACCCCAGCTCTAGGTGTTTCCAAAGCCCATGCTCTTGCTTTTATGTTTACAAAGTGCTTTCAGTAATTGTGGCAGGTCACTAGGGCAGGTCTTCTTCTCTCCACCTTCCAGATGAGGAAACTGAGGCCAGCAAGGTTCAGGGATATAATATACTCAAGGCCTCGCTGCTGGGAATTGGAGAGTGGGATTTGACTCTCGGCCAGTGCTCTTGCCTCTATGAAAGACTCACAAGGAGAGAATTTTAAAAAACAACAATCCAGCCTGGCTGGTGTGGCTCAGTGGTTGAGCATCGACCTATGAACCAGGAAGTCACGGTTTGATTCCCAGTCGGGGCACATGTCGGGGATGCAGGCTCGATCCCCAGTGTGGGACGTGCAGGAGGCAGCCGATCAATGATTCTCTCTCATCATTGATGTTTCTTAACTTTAAAAAATATATATTTATTTATTGATTTCAGAGAGGAAAGGAGAGGGAGAGAGAGATAGAAACATCAATGATGGGAGAATCTTGATTGGCTGCCTCCTGAACGCCCCCTACTGGGGATCGAGCCCACAACCTAGGCATGTGCCTTTGACGGGAATCGAACCTAGGACCTTTCAGTCCGCAGGCCGACACTCTATCCATTGAGCCAAACCGATTAGGGCCCTTTCTTTTTTTAAAATATATTTTTATTGATTTCAGAGAGGAAGGGAGAGGGAGAAACATCAATGATGAGAGAGAATCATTAATCAGCTGCCTCCTGCACACCCCCTACTGGGGATCGAGCCCACAACCCACGCATGTGCCCTGTCCTGGAATTGAACTGTGACTTCCTGGTTCATAGGTCAATGCTCAACCTGAGCCACCCTGGCTGGGCTCATCATTGATGTTATCTATCTCTTTCTCTCTCTTCCTCTCCCTTCCTCTCTGAAATTAATAATAAAAATATATTTTTAAAAAAGCACTGCGAAAGAAATCAGAAACTTGAGGATGATAAAAAAGGTTCCAGAACCATGACGAGAGCCAGTTGTGTGCACTCTCTGAAAAGCAGGCCGGGGGGAGTTTGGGGTCAGGGCCCATGTGTGCTTCATATTAGTGGTCAAGGTCACCTTGAAGCCTCTCCCGGGCTCTGAGCCTGTGACTCTTAGAACTGACTGATGGAGCCTTCAAAGCAGGGCCAGGGGGCCACGGATTAATTTCTGCAGCTGGAATTTGTTGGATGTGTGTGTAGCCTGTGAGCCCAGAAACCAATGAGACTTGGGAACAGGGGAGGGGGGGGAGGAGGAGGGAAAGGCAGGGGGCTGAGCTCTTGGCTTACTTAGAAATGCCAGGCCCCGCAGCTCCCAAGTGGAAAATTTCTTCTGGAACCCATTGCCTTCGAGGGCTGGAGAGTGCCCGCACTGTGGGTCCCTTGCAGGCTCCAAAGGGCAGCTTGTCCTTGTCACCCGCTCCAGGGGTGGCTGCTGTCCCCAAAGCTTGGAGGGCCGCATTCCATTTTAGCACTGATCTGTCCCTTCTGTCCCTACAGGCATTTGCTGGGCCTCCTGCTCAGAGACAGGGCACTTGTACCCAGCTCTCCTTTGCCACCCGTGGCAGAGCCGACTGGGAACCTGAGAAGCTGGAGTGCCAGTTCTTAATCCCCCAGCTCAGACCGAAAGAGACTGGCAGGCCCCAAGTGTCCCCCGTGACTCCTCTGGGCCTCTTCTGCCTCCTACCTTCCCCCATTTCACATTTAAGGGATCTGATCTGAGGATTTAAGAACTGGGTTAAAAGTCAGTGCGGCTGCCCTAGAAGAGGGACCCACAAATGACCTAACCCAGTGGTTTTCAAAGGGGAAATCCCGAGAATCTGGATGTGAATTCTGAGCACCCCTGCCTCCCACTTCAGCCTGAGCTCTTGTTTTTGTTTATGCATTTGGCTCTTGTCAAAGCTTCTGTTTGAAGAAGAAAGAGTTTTGTGGCAACCAAAAATAAAGTGTAAAGGTCAACTACTTCCTGTCTTCACACACGAGGCAGTTGAGGCCTAGAGCAGGGTCAGTCGGGGTGCCTGGGGCTGAAACTCAGTCCAGGGCTCTTGGCACTGTCCCAGGTGCCCCTGACACACCCACGACTCATTCTGTGACCTCCTGTGGGCTGTCACTAACCGAGGAACAAGTCAGGCACCTGTGCTTCTAACATGGTTCTTCAAGGGAGAATAAAATACGTAGCTGGAATAGGCTCTGGCTGGCGTGGCTCAGTAGTTAGGGTGTCGGCCCACTCGCCAAAGGGTCCCTGGAATTCTAGATGCAATTGGCTGATGGCTGTGCCTACCTGTGTGCCTATCGACATGCCGGCACTTCAACTTCTCAGAAGTGTTGCATGTTCATTATCTCATTTCAGTCCCAGGACAACCTCATGCATGGGCTGGCTGCCACTTTTGCCTCCGTGTAGTAACTGATCCTCAGAGAAGCTAAGAGGCCCAGCTGAGGTTTGAACCCGTGAAGTCTTTGCTTAATCACTGCATTGTGTCGATAGGGGCAGCTGAGCTCTAGGCTTTTGGTGCTGACTGGCTCTAACCCAGCCGTGGGCAAAGTACGGCCAGCGGGCCGAATCCGGCCCGTTTGAAATGAATAAAACTAAAAAAAAAAAAAAAAGACCGTACCCTTTTATGTAATGATGTTTACTTTGAATTTATATTAGTTCACACAAACACTCCATCCATGCTTTTGTTCCGGCCCTCCGGTCCAGTTTAAGAACCCATTGTGGCCCTCGAGTCAAAAAGTTTGCCCACCCCTGCCTAACCTCTAGGGGTGTGCTTCCCATGACCTGCCTGCCAGCAAACCCCCTTCCCAGGCAGGCGTGACCTTGAGCAAGGTTAGGGAAGAGAGGCAGGGAGGTGGGAGGCTGGCAGAGCGGCAAGGGTTTGGGGGGCCTGTTCTGCCCCCACCTCCCAGACTCTTATCAGCAGGCTCTTTGCCAGGTGGGCTTTCCAGAAAAGCTGAGCAGAGCCCACCTGTTGCAGGCGCCCTGGTAAGGAGCCAGCATGGCCAAGAACACACCAGAATTTCCAGCAAAGTTCAGGGATGCCCCCTGGTGGATCTGCACTCCCAACGCAGAACTAAAGCTCTTCTCCCAGCCTTCCCAGGATCCCTGGGTGCCTGCAGCCAGCCACTGAAGAAGGCCAGGTCATTTTTTCAGGCTCAGCTTGTGATTCCGTGTTGCATAGGATGGGTTAGGGGTGGGGGGTGGGGTGGGGGATGAGCATTCCATAGAATTGGGTTCAAATCCCACCTCTGCTGCTCGCTAACTGGGCATTTTGGGGCAAGTTAGTTGTCCAAGCCTCAGTGTCTCATCCATCAAATGTGTATAATTTAAGTTCCACCTCACAGAACTCTTACCTCAATTAACTTAAGATAACCTGTGTAGAGAGCTTGCCTGTGCTGGCGTGCTCAATAAATATTAACTATTCTGATTGGTAGAAAGACTATGTTCTGGGGGAACTTGAGCCAATCACACCTGTCTCCACACCTTGGTTCCCTCATTAGTAAGACAGGAACCGTCCTAATTAGCTTATGGGGTGGTGGTGAGAGCTAGCTATTGAATGCAAAAGATGGTAACCCCAAAGTTCTTTTATGCGCTTAAGGCATTACTCTTTTTTAAAAAATATTTCTATTGATTTTTACAGAGAGAGGAAGAGAGGGGGAGAGAGAAAGAGAAAGATCTGTTTGAGAGTGGAACAAGGATGGGCTGCCTCCTGCACACCCCCAGGTGGGGATTGAACCTGCAACTTGGGCATGTGCCCTGACTGGGAATTGAACCTGCAGCCTGCCAGTGCACGGGACAATGCCCAATCAACTGAGCCACACCGGGGCTTAAGGCGTTACTTTTATTATTCACTTCCAACCAGGTGAAAGGCACTATGTGTTTATTCAACAAATACTGACCACAGGCCTGTCGTGGGCCAAGACTTTGTGTGTTTGCAGCAGTGAACAGATGGGAATACTGTGCACATCAGAGTGTAAGCCCCATGAGGGTTTTTGTCTAGTTCAAGGGTCTGCAAACTTTCTCGGTAAAGAGCCAGAGAGTAATTATGTATTTTAGGCTTTGCCCGGCCGTTGTAGCTTGGAAACAGTCGGAGATATGTGAGTCAATGAGTGGGGGCTGTATGCCAATAAAACTTCATATATGGACCCAGAAATGTGAATTTCATGTAATTTTCACATCAAAAAAATATGATTGATTGTGGGCCATACAGGAATCAGTGGCGGACCCATTTATTGCTTAGTTGAGTCTTTATTCTTGGGGTAGCTTTGAACATGGTTTTTCTCCTCTGGTCGACACATTTCTAAGCCTCCATACACTGTATATTTGTCACAGCTAACAGTGGGCTTCTCATTCCAGCCCTAACAGACAGGAGGTATGAGTATGGAGTTGGCAGTCTGCTTTGTGTCTTTCTCCCCTTCAAAATGCGTCCACTTAGCTTCAAGTGTTGCTCCTGCCTTGGCTGGGATTCCCATTTTACAGATGGGGAAGTAGAGTCCCCGGAAGGGTCATGATTTCCTTAGGGTTTGTGGCCAGTGGTGGCCCCAGGGCTAGCAGCAGTGGCCCTGTCCCCTAATTCAGAGCTTGTCCCCTTCTCTCCCGGAGCTTGCTGCTAAGATGAAGGTTGGGCTTTCCTGAGGAGGGGCACATACTCTCTGTAGTTCCGTCATTCATAGGAGAAGGCATATGTCCATGCTGTACAGGGCAGCCTACATTCATCGTTTATTTGTTCCATAATAAACTGGGTGCCAAGTTCCTTAGATACGTGGGGTAAAGGTGTGAACAAGACAGAGAAGACTCCTGCCCTCGCGATGGTTGCCGAGTAGTAGGGAAGAAAGAGCAGACAAAGAAACGAATTTAAGAATTGTGATTAGTGCCGGGGAATAACGGAGGGACCCATTCATTTATGCACCAGACACAGTGCTGAGGACTTCTGTAATCATCGTCTGGCTTAATCCTCACAACTAGCCTATAAAGAGAAATGGCAGGATGAGGACATGGCTGGTCAGAGACGTCAAGTAACTTTCTTGGCTTCACAGATCAGGGAGGGGGACCACTAAACAGCTAATTATCTGTTGAAGTCCTATCCTTAAATTAACAGAAAGGCCTTGAGTGCCATGCCAAGGATTATTTGGTTGGCAGTGGGGAACCCTCTCTGATGGTTTTAAGCAGAGAGAGGAGTGTCCATGGTCAGGTGTCTGTCTTAGAAAGCTCATACTGGCAGCGGTATGGAGGATGGGGGTGGGGGCGGAGGGGCGGTGTAGCTGGAAGACAGCAGCAGTGGTGGACTGGACTAGAGAGAAGCGGTGGTGGTGGAGGAAGCAGACGGATTGGAAAGATTGACTAAGGGGAATGGACATGGCATAGGGGGAGGCGTCTGGGGGAACCCTGGAGGAGGAGGAGGTTTTGTTTCGTGGGGGCTCCCAAGTAGGATCTGGCCCCCAGGAGGCGGGAGCTACCAGCATGTGGATTCTGCCCCTAGGCAGCCGGCGGCTGGTGGACGTGATGGATGTGAACACTCAGAAGGGCACAGAGATGAGCATGTCCCAGTTTGTGCGATACTACGAGACACCCGAGGCCGAGCGGGACAAGCTGTACAACGTCATCAGCCTGGAGTTCAGCCACACCAAGCTGGAGCACCTGGTCAAGCGTCCCACTGTGGTAGGTAGGCCCCTGGCCACGGTTCCCTCCCGGACACCCTCCACCTCCTGCCCTCGCCCTGCCCCCACCGCAGGCCTGGGGGAAGGTGGGGGGAATGCCGGGGACAGGAGGAAGGGGTTGAGGTGATTTGGAAGCCCAGCAAGTGCTGACAGGGGTCTGGCTTTCAGGTAGACCTGGTGGACTGGGTGGACAACATGTGGCCGCAGCACTTGAAGGAGAAGCAGATGGAAGCCACAAACGCCATTGCAGAGATGAAGTACCCGAAAGTGAAGAAGTAAGACTGCTCGCTGGCAGCGGGAGCCGGGAGGGGTGACTCCCGGCCGTGGGGGGAGGGGGGAGGGGGCTGGAAGTGAGCCTCCCATGATGCCACAGCGCCGATGAGATGGGAGGAATGGTGTGGGCAGGGTGGCACCTTGCTTCCCTGGAATCCAGAGGGTCTGCGTCCTGCTCTGGGGCTGCAGTCTCCTTCCAGATGGTCCGTTGGCCTTGCTGCCAGCTGTACCCAGGGGGTGTGACCTGAGGAGCAGGGAACTGTCTCTGTGCCCATGTGTATGTGCATGTGTGTGCACTCACGTGTGTGTGTGCACACTTATCAAGTCTTTGTCAACTCAGAGTGGGCATTTTCAGGGAGACCCGTGCCCCACAAACACTGCTTTTGCTGAGGGATGGGGAGGGTCCGAGTGTCCTTCTGCTTCTGGCTGTTGAGAGCAGGGCCTCTGATCCAGAAGAACCTTTCCCAGAGCCCGGGAGCCACTTCCTCACCAGACGTCCCGTGGACATTCCTCTGAGTGGGAGGCTGGCCCTGGGGAGGTGCCGACATTGGTTGCAGCAGGGACCTCACTACAGGCACCGTGACCAGCAAGTCATGAGACCGATTGCTCATCACGGGCAGAGACCCTATCCCTGCACGATGTAGCATTTGAGTAACGGACCCTTGGGAGGAGGAAGTCACCCTGGGGCTTCCGAAATGGGAAGCAGATGCTGGCTGTCCCAGGCAGGACTGTTGCTCTGGGTTTCCTAGAAGAATTGGCTTTGGTGGCCCGAATCCATTAGCATCTCTCTGCTCAGCTCTGCTGCCAGGAGTACCCCCAGGAGCTTAGAGGCTGTGAACTTTTCATTCATTCTGTCCTTTATTCAGTGCGCACTGAATGCGGACTCCGTGCCAGGCTTTGTAAGGGAGGCCAGCAGGCTGGCCTTGGGCTTCTCAAGGTTTTGCTTTCAAGCTCTCTCTCTCTCTTTCTTTCCTTACTTCTCAGGCATTTCCCCTCCCCTCAAAGCTGAAGGCCCGTACACTCCTTGGATCTGGGCCCCATCAAAGGCAAATGGGCTCAAGGAGCCCCTGGGACAGGGAAGTAAAACGATGAACAAGACAAAACCCCTACCCTCTGGGGGACATGCCATGGAAACAAGGGTTCAGGTGCAGCGCTCATGCCAGCAGAGGGAAACAGTCCAGGGAGGAATCCCTTTCGGCTGGTGGCTCTGGGAAGTCCTCTCAGAGGGGACATCGAACCCGGGCTTTAAAGGACGGAGGAGATGGGAGGGACCTGGGCAGGGATGGAGGTAGGGGAGTGCCAAGGGCCTGGAAGGAATCATGGGGGTCAAGCCTCAGGAAAGAGTGTGGGTCTCAGAGATCAGTTAGAGGCAGATCTCGGCTCTTACTGATGGATTGATTATTCATTCATTCATTCTGCATATATGTACTGAACATCTAATTGGTGCTGCCCTGGGAATGCAGCCGGGAGAAAATCCATGCGCCCCCTGCTCTCACAGAGCTTACAGTCTGTATGCTCATCTGAAGACAGTCATTAACTCAGTAACCAGAGAAACAAGCGGAACTTGCAGCTGTGATGAGGCCACAAGGCAGAGACCCACCGAGCTAAGGGAGCATGTACCAGGGGGTCACCCGGTCAGGACAGCATCCCCGAGCTGGGGTCTGAAGGGAGAGGGGTTACTTAGGTGAAGAGGCTTTGAAGAGCTTTCCTGGTTGTGCAGAGAGCCCGGGTGGCAGGGCGGGGCAGGGGGAGGACCCCAGGAAGGATGGCAGTGGGGCTGGGGATTGGGTGCAGGATGCTGGTGGGGGGGGGGGTGCACCGGGGTGAACAGCCCCTGCTGTGCCATAGGGCAGGGTCTGTATTTCTCCTACGAGCAGTTGGAAACCTCTCTGAGATTTTAGGTTGAGAGGGATGTGTTCAGTGTTGCACTCTGCAAGGCCTCCTGCTGCTGTGTGAGTTGAAGGAGGTGGAGATAGAAGAACATGAGGAACCACTGCATCGTCTAGACAAGGGTGAAGGACGGGCCAGGGGCAGGAGAGCAGAGAACAAACTGGACATGTAGGAAGGTAAAATAGACAGCAGTGGGTGACACACAGGGCGAGGCAGAAGTAGGTTTACAGTTGTGAGTATGTGCAAGAGTTTATTCTTGTATTATTAGTATTTATTAATTTTTGTACTATTTATTTGCAGTACAACTGTAGACCTACTTTTGCCCACCCCTGTCTATTTCAGTGACTTTATGTCTACCTTGCCTCCCTGAGATATTTAGGGAAGGATTTAACTTGATTGAAAGATTCCTCTCCATAGTAAACTCTGTTAATACCTTGAGAGTTCTATCTAATAACCAAAAAGAAAGGGCTTACACAGTTTTCCAGGACCATGTGTCTCCAGCCCATTGGCTAGATTGTGTGCCAAACAGATTGACAAACTCCATCAGTGGCTGTGGAAACTCGTTAGAGGATTTGAACCTTGTTAGGAAGGAAATTGTCACCTTGGAACTAGTCCATTTGTTCCTCTGAAAAGAATGCTGATTTCAGTTAATAAGCAGAGTCAAATCCCACGGTGGTGAAGTCCTCTGGGACTGTAGAATGGTTGTGTGGAATGTAATGAAAATGACACCGTTTCTGGAACGGTGAGTTGTCCACCCATGAACCAAGAGGTCACCGGTTGGATTCCCAGTCAGGGCACATGCCTGGGTTTCGGGCTCGATCCCCAGTGAGAGGGGCGTGCAAGAGAAAGTCAATCAATGATTCTCTCTCATCATTGAAGTTTCTATCTCTTTCTCCCTCCCCCTTCCTCTCTGAAATCAATAAAAATATATTAAAACTATATTTTAAAAAATCTAGCAGGTTAAAACAGTAAACATTACCTCACAGCCTGTGCAGGTCAGGAATCCAGGAGTGCCTTAGTGGTGTGGTTCTGGCTTGGATCTCTCATCAGCTCCTGTCAAGACAGCCCTGGGCTGCCATCATCTGAAGGCTTGACTGGGGCTGGGGGACCTGCTTCCACCGTGGTACCCTCGCATAGCTGTTGGCAGGAGGCCTCAGCTCCTCCCCATGTGGGCCTCTCCGCAGGGTTGCTTGAGTATCCTGGTGACATGGCAGCTGGTCCCCCAGAGGGAGCAGTTCGAGAGAGTGGGAGTGCCTTGTGAGGCCTAATTTTGGAAGTTGCATGCTGTTTACTTCTGCATATTCTATTAATTAAAAGTGAGTCACCACATCTGGCCCACACTCAAGGGGAGCGGAATATGCTCTGCCTCTGAAAGGGAGGAGTATCAAAGGATTTGTGGACATGTTTTAAAGACTCCACAGTCTCCTAGGTCAGTGATTTTCAACCTTTTTCATCACGTTGAAATCACTGTCCTAGGTGTATGACATGGGCATATACCCTTTTCACTTTATTTATTTATTTTTTTTTAAAATATATTTTATTGATTTTTCACAGAGAGGAAGGGAGAGAGATAGAGAGAGTTAGAACATCGATGAGAGAGAAACATCGATCAGCTGCCTCTTGCACATCCCCCACCGGGGATGTGCCCGCAACCCAGGTACATGCCCTTGACCGGAATCGAACCCGGGACCTCTCAGTCCACAGGCTGACGCTCTATCCACTGAGCCAAACCGGTTTCGGCAACCCTTTTCACTTTAGACTTCTAGGTATTATAACACATTGCAGAAGGAAATGAGCAAGTCTCTTCCTTCGTCACCTGCTACGGAACACACAGGACTGGCAAAAATGAGGTTTGCTGGAGTAATGGAGAGATGCTGTGGACTAAAAGTCCAGCAAAACGGGGTCTTGAATAATTGAGAGTTGACTGCATTTTTCTCCCCATGTACTTTCTGGGGATGGCAGGAAGAACTGGGGAAATTTAGGGGTGCATACCTGAAACAGAGAGGATGAAAACGGGCACAGGCTAAGCCAGTTTCAGGGGCTGCCTCTGCCACTCTGGTGACCATGGCAAGTCTTTCGTCTTAGAGACTCAGTTTTCTCCCCTATGAAGTGGGGATCCTCTAGCCGCTGCCCCCATCCCCCACCATGGGGAAGACTGAGCCTGCAGTGGATGCGAAATGTGGATGGGACAAGATGCTAATGCATGTGGTCTCCGGTAGCACACAGGGCTCCAGAGGCCATTGGAATTCCTACATCCTCTGCTTTTCCATCTCTCTCTCATATTTGCATAGGGCTTTAAAAGTAAAAGTTAATCCTCACTCGAGGATATGTTTTTTATTGATTTTAGAAAGAGGAAGGGGAGCGCGAGAGAGAAACATTGATCTGTTGCCTTTTGTACCTGCCCCGATTGGGGATTGAACCTGATACCCAGGCACGTGTCTGACCAGGAATCAAACTGGCAACCTTTTGGTACACCCTCTGCTTTTCTTTTCTCTTTTAGCGGGGTGGGGGCTCTGGGGAGGGGGAGCAGGGCAGGGGCGCCACCAGCCTCTGCTTTTCAATACACAGGACAACTCTCAACCAACTGAGCCACTCGGGCCAGGCTCTAGGACCTGATTTGACCCATGAGGGCCACTAGAGGTCCTCTGACTAGTTCAACAAATGGGGATGCCCAGTTCCAGAAGGAGGAAAGATTTAGTCCGATGTCACAAAGCTGATTAGAATAATAAACTTCAGGCCTTTTGCCATTTGCTGCACTGACACAGATGAGTCTGACATATTTCCTGCCATCAAGGAGCTGAGGCATTGCTGACTAAAAACGTGATAATAATTCTCCCACGTGGACAGTTCATTTAACTCCACCTCTGTTTTGTGTGTGGCAAAGCCCTTGTTCAAGGACACCCACTCAATGACTGCTCAAGGTGGGGGATAGGTCTTATAATTGTTACTTTTTCGTTTAAATAGGCAAAACATACATATGGTGAGAAATTCAGCCAGTTCCAAGGAGCTCACCGTCTAACCCAGCCGTGGGCAAACTACGGCCCGCGGGCCGGATCCGGCCCGTTTGAAATGAATAAAACTAAAAAAAAAAAAAAAGACCGTACCCTTTTATGTAATGATGTTTACTTTGAATTTATATTAGTTCACACAAACACTCCATCCATGCTTTTGTTCCGGCCCTCCGGTCCAGTTTAAGAATCCAATGGTGGCCCTCGAGTCAAAAAGTTTGCCCACCCCTGGTCTAACCTCTGGGCAGGCCATCCCATGAACAAACCAGGAAGCCCTTGGCCCAAGCCATTGACCACTTTGAAATGACTTCAGATGTTCGCTTTCCTAAAATGGGGGTTATGGGGTTGTTTTAAGGGTGAAAGGACATCATGTATGTAAATAGCTAATATTAGTACTTGATCATTGGACTTGGTAATTAATATTGGGGAGTTAATTAACACTTGATAATTAATACTGGTGGGTAGCCCCCGTGGATGGAGTTTGGTCAAAGAAACTTGGTTGGAGAAGCTTGATTTCTGCTCCTGTAGGGAGTATAGCCGATGGTCACCTGCCCCCTTGTAAGGGTTTGGGGGAACGGTGTGGGGACAGGATGGGAGGAGGGCTGTGGCCCTGATGAGCATGCCCCGAAGGCTGGGACTTCTGATTTGAGCTGGACCAGCTCCTTCAGCAGGAAGTCAGTGGTGGAGGTTTAGCTGTAACTGCAGAGTCAGCTTCGTGAGAGTCTTGGGCTTTGCCAGGCAGGCCTGGGGAGAAGGACTGAGGAACTCCAAACCAGGCTCTTTGGATGAGAACCGCCAACCACTAGGGTGGTGACCAGGGTGAGTTACTACCTCTGAGCCTCTGCTTTCTCATCTGTTAAGTGGGGACAATCCTGGGAGTGACCTCAGAGGGCTGTGTGAGAATTGTACTCAAAGTACCATAGAGCCAGGTATGTGTGAACAGTATTTATCTCAATGAATCCCACAATACTTTCATCGTGTGGGGTTACAGAGCTACTACGGTAGGGGGAGGGCAGCATCTTAGAATGCAGAGTTGAACTTCAGGTCACCTCCCTGCCCTTAGAAGGAGGAAATGGCTCAGAGAGGGGAAGTAAGTTGTCCCAGGTCACACAGCTTGTCTATCTTAGGGCCAGAGATGAATCCCTGGTTTCCGGACTGCCACCCCCTGGACCTGACACCCTTCCACCCCCAGCACCGATCATTTCTCTAGCTGTGCCCGCACGGGCACGTTTAAGGAAAGTGGGTTTGCTGGGCTGGCACCAGGACAGAGTCCACGCTCCCTGAAAACGGGGGTGGGCAAAGCTACCCGCGTGCTCCCACCCTGCCTGGGTGAGGGGGCGGCCGTGGGCGGCGGCGGCGTCCCCTGGCGCTGGCCCGCGCGCTTCTGTGTCACCACCGCGGCCTCCCTCCGCCTCCTTGGCGGCAGCGGCGCCGCGCTGGGTTCAGTGTCAGCGAGGATGAGCGCAGCCTGCGCTGGGCTTCCCGAGGAAGGAAGGAAGCGAGCGGGGGCGCCAGGGTCCTCGGTGGGTGCCTAGCAGCGCCGGGGAAGGGGCTGGGTTCTGCTCGCCAGGGCCGGGCGCGCGTCGAGCAGGCGCCGCCGAAGGGGACGCCCGGGAGCTGCGCCGCCGCCGCCGCGGAGGGTAACCGCGGGCGCGCCGGGCGGGGCCGGGCGGGGCCGGGCGGTCGTCCCTGCGCGGTTCCCCGCCAGCTAGGGGCTGCCCAGGCGGCCCGCTCCTTCGAGGTGCGCCGGGCGTGGCGGGGGTGGCCGCCCGCCCGCGGGCTGCGCGGTGGCGTCGCGGAGCAGCTCTTTGTGTCTCCCGGCGAGGCGTGTAAGTGGAGTGTGTGCGCCGTCGCCGGTGCCAGCTTGCCAGGTCCGCGCCAGACCTTTGCCCGAGGGGATGTTTTCGGTGCCGCCGGGGCAGTTTTGCGAAGTTGGAGGGAAATGGGCGGGCTGAGGCCGCCCCGCCTCCTCTGACCCCAGACAGCACCCCAAAGTTGGTGCGGCAGGTGCAGCACCCCCTCCGCCAAGCTCCTCCCTAGCCGGCCCTGGGAGGCGGGAACCCTTTGGCTTAGCTCTGGGGGCTCCTGATGGTCAGCCCCTAACTCAGGGTGCCCTGTGACACAGAAGCCACTGGGCCGGTGGGGGGGCGGGGGTGTCGAGGGGCGCGGCTTTCCAGGCGGGGGCGGGGGGGGGGGCGGCCAAGGCGGAAGCCAGGCTGGCTGGCCAGCCGCAGGGAGAGCTTAGCCGCCGTGGCACCGAGCCGGGGTGCCCATGTGACTGCGGTGTGCTTTGGAAGAGGAAGCTGTAGAGGTCAGTGCAAAGACGTCACGCCAGAGCGGGCGAGAGCAGGAGTGAGGGGGGGAGACCCGGAATGAGCGCGGGGAGAGGGGAGGGAGGCGGGGTGGCGGCGGCACAGCCCGGACAAAGCCGCCCTGTCACAGCCATCCTCCCCTGGACGCCCTAATGCATGCAATTGAGGGGCCGGCCGGGTCTGGCGGCCAGGAAATGAGGGACGTGGGAGGAGGGGCCTGTCCAGGACCGGCGGGTCTGGAAGTGGTGTCCCCATGCTCCCAGGGGCCTCGGAGGATGTTGAAGGGTGACTAGGAGGGCAGGCCAGGCGCAAACTCAACTTGGAGAAGTTTCACTGCACACTGCAGCTGCAGCTCGCAGGCGTGCCGTTTTCCCCACGTGCCGGGCAGGTGGGGGCTGCAGGCGGGAGGGAGGGTGGGGTGGTCAGTTTGGCCAGGTAGGCCTGGTGCCTGGAGCCCAAGAACCAAGCTACTGCCTTTTCCTCTCCCATGTGGACACCTGGGTGGGTATCCAGCTGCAGACCGAAGGAAGTGTATCTTGCTCCACCCCAAACATAGACACTTAGATTGTTTTCCTTAGACTGTTCTGCGGAGGCTTGGAGGGGGTGGAAACCGAGGTTAGTTTAAAAAAAGAAAAGAAAAAAACCAAGAGGAAGAGGTGGTTTTAGGAGCTTGAGGACTAATATTTTGAAGTGGTGCTGAGAGAAAAGAGGCCAGTGTGGTCCATGGGGTGGTGTGTGTGTGGCGGGTGGTCAGGGCTTCAGACACCCCCTCCCCCAGTTTCTTGGGGAGAGAACGGATCGCCCAGGCCTTCAGAGTGGGGACCTGGCTGGGGCTGGGCCGGGTGTGGAGCTGTAGTCCCGAGCTGGGACTTTAACAACCCCAGCGCCTGTCTTCCTGACAGGGCTGCCTCCTGTGCTGTCCACTACACCCCTCCGATGGGGTTGCTAGGCAGCGGGGCTCTGATGTGCGGGAAGGCCTTCTGATTTGTCAGCCTCCTGCAGACACATGCTCCGGGCTCCTTCCAGCCTATCCCGATGAGGGACGCGGCACGCTGCCTGCAGACTGCCAGCCCTGAGCCCCGGTACACCTGAATGTGAGGTGCACAAGGCAGCCAGAGGGAGGGGGCACTTGGAGCCCCACAGCCTCCTCAACCAGCCCAGCCCCACCCTTTATTATCTCCACTCAGCTCCATGCTGGCTCCTCCTCCCTGCCCATCCCCGCCCCATTCCTCCCCTCTTCCCCAAACCATGGAAAAGCAAAGTGCTCCGGGGAAAAGAGGTCAGTGGGGTAAGCATGTGTGTGCGGGCCTCTGGAGGTGCCAAGATGCGTGAGTGTGAGCCCCGGGGGTGGGGGTGGGGGTGTCCTGCCCTGCCCGTGCCTCCAGTGGCTCTTGTGGGAAGCGGTGGATGGGAGGGAGGCGACCCTGCCACCCCTCATCTGCCAGGTCTGGAGTTGGAAGCCTGCTCCTTCTCCCTCCTCCTTAAGCACTGCCTCCCTGTAGGAGGGCGGCATATTCCAGGAGGAGGGAGGAGACTGGAGAGTTCCTGTAAGGAAAGGCTCAGAAGGGGGCTCCTGAAGGCACTCCCCCAGCCCAGGCTTCTAAAGCCCAGACACTCCCTCTCCCCCCACCCCCGCCACCCCCTACCCCCACTCCCACCTGTCCACCCCAGGGTCTTCTCTTAATCCCTTTACCTTTTTTTAGCAGCTTTATTGAGATATAATTCACATACCATTCATCCACCTAAAGTGTACAATTCAGTAGTTTTTAGTGATGTTTACGGAGTTGTGCAAGCACAATCAATTTGGGGACATTTTTATCACCCCTGAAGGGAACCCTGTACCCTTGAGCAGTCACACCCACCCCTGGCCACTACTGATCTACTCTTGTCTCTGTAGATTTGCCTCCTCCGGGCATTTCATCTACGTGGAAGCATACACAGCGTGGTCTTCTGTGGCTGGTCCCCCTGAACTTTTCGCTTCTTTGCTTACTTCGCAGCCCGTTGCAGTTGGTCTTGCCATTTAACTTTTCCCTGTGCAGTGCTCCAAGGGTGCCCCATCCTTAAGGGCAGGGTCCCATTTCTCTAAGAGCCATGCCTCGCTCTGGGCTGCAGCGCTCTTTGGCTCTCAGTAAATGATCGTTGAATGAATGTGGAGATGAATGGGGACTGGTAATTGGCAAGCCACGCCGGTGGTTAACAGCTGAATTCCAGGGCGCCCAGCTGCTGCAGAGGGGGCTGGCAGCCGGGGGGGTGCTCTGGATAGAGGAGTTTCTAAGGAGCAGAAAGGAAGACTCTTACTTGGGTAGGAGTGTGGGTGAGGCAAGAGCAGAAACCTGCGAGGAAGGACTCCAGTGGCCCGTGGGTTGCCAGCTCTCTTGTGGGAACCTGAAAACAAAAGTGCCTCCCCCAGCCTTAGGGAGCGGGTGGCCAGTGCTTGAGATTGGTCACCTGATTACAGGGGCTTCCCCCAGGGGGAACTCCGATGCAGTTTGGGTTTAAAAAAAGAAAAGAAAAGAGAAGGAAATTCCCCAGTGTCAGCGTTTATAAGAGGGCGGCGGGTGAAACATCTCCCAAGTTGTTTTCTCACCTCCTGTGATTCAGGCGTTGACTCGTTTTCTCTGCTGCCCTGCTTCTGCGCTGCAGGTACTGTCTGATGAGCGTGAAAGGTTGTTTCACTGACTTCCACATCGACTTTGGAGGCACTTCCGTTTGGTACCATGTTTTCCGGGGTGGGAAGGTGAGTCCAGTTGAACCCCTTCACCTCTGTGTACATCTCCGGCTGTCTGCACGGCAGGGCTCGCTCCTCACCTTTCCCCTGTCTCCCGCCCCCTCCTCCAGCCAGTCCCTGCTCTGTGAGTACTTTCAGAGCCTCTTGGTCCCCCTGGGGCCACCTCCTTACTCTTGTCTTCTTCTGGCAGGAAAGACCAAGATCACCCCACCCCTTTTGCATCACATCCGGTCACCCGTTCACACTTGTTCACCCAGTCTGGTGCTCTCAGCACCTTAGGCCAGATTGGAACTCCAGATTTTGGTTCCCAAGAACCCGCAGCATTCATTCCCCTCAGCAACAGGGCGGGGATCTTTTAACGTGAAACGCCAGCTGCCAGCATCACCTGCTCCCAAGAACAGGTGATTTTACATCAGGGACAGACGTCACCCAGAGGACGGCCGTGCGGGACCTGCGTGCGTTTAGGATGCTCCTGCTGTGTTTGCTTCTGTGAGCATCCACGTGGGGACGTAGGCGTCCCTCAGGGATGTAGGCGCTCCCCGAGAATCCGGGTGTGCCGCCCTGCTTGTCTGGGTCTCTTGTCAGGAGAAATTCTGGCTAGGATGTCATCCCGCTTGGTTCCAGATGTTTTCCCTCCCTCTCCCGAGTGAGCATCACCTGGGTTTATTTATTGGGCCGTTTTATCACACACCTTCGGAAATGGCTCTTCTTCTCCTTCCCCCACCTTCCTGACAAGCCTGTGGCTCAGGAGAAAGAATGTTCCACGGAATCCATTAAGTCTTGCCACCCTGGTGTTGCGTTTGGAACGGGGATTCCCTAAAGGCGTGTGAAGGACACCCCCGAAGGGTGGCACAGCCCTCCCTTCACCCCAGAGACCCTTTGGGCCTGGGCCTGGAGGGACCCCTGGGGATGGGTTGTCCCCCCCCCAACCCCCCCCCGCCCCACCTCCCCTCTCCCAGGCAGGTGGGGCTGTCTCCTTGTGCTGTGGCGGAGCCTGGAGGAAACCAGAGCCTTGGCCTGGATCCTCAGCTGACGACCTCCTTTTCCTCCCAAGATCTTTTGGCTGATTCCTCCAACCCTGCACAACTTGGCGCTGTACGAGGAGTGGGTGCTGTCAGGCAAACAGAGTGACATCTTCCTGGGAGACCGTGTGGAGCGCTGCCAAAGAATTGAGCTGAAACAGGGCTACACGTTTTTCATCCCTTCCGGTAGGTTCCAACAAGGCTGGCGCTGAGCTCGCGTGTTCCCGCGTCCCTGCGGCTTCAGCCAGGGTTTCTCTGGGCCTCCTGGCCATTGGCAGTCTCTGAGAGGAGAGGTTTCTGGCTGCAGGGAAAAACAGCCCCATTTCCCTCTCACATCTTCCCTGTATCTCTCTGCCTGTGGGCCAGAATTCTCTCCTGGGGGAACGCCCAGGGCCCTCCCTCAGGACTTCCTGCAGGGAGGTTTCTGGGTGATAGCATGGCCTGTGGAGGGGGGGAGGGGTCAGGTGTGACCCTGAGGACTCTGAGGCAGGCCCTGGGAAGGGCAGACCTGGGTCATTGGGGAAGGACCCAGAGTGGCAGCTTCCTTCCGGAAGAACAAGATGAGATGTAATCAGTGGCGGCTCTCACCCTTAGACTCCCCCCTCCAAAACCAAAATTAACTCCACAGCTACAGCAGAGGGTAGTAATTAAGAGCATCAGCCCCAGAACCAGACTGTATGGCCTTAGTTCAAATTCCGGCTCTGCTGTTTACAGGCTGTGACTTCACAGAAGTGACTTAACCTCGGTGTGGCTCATTGTTCTTATCTGTATAATGGGAATAAGATGTTCCAAGGTGGTTGTGAGGACTGAGTGAGTGAAGGCCTACTTGCCTAACGCATTTTGGAGATGGACTGAGGGCTTTTGGCCAGTTCTAGGCTGAGCCACTGGTGGATGTGGCAGATGACCTAGGAGTCTGGGAGTACGCTCTTAGGCTGCGTTAATAGAAGAATTTTACCCAGGACGAGGCGGGTGACGATCCCACCGCATAGAGTGAGGGCGTCAGGCCACATGTGGGAGGTTGGGTCCCTCTTGGTTATACTTTGGAGGGTAAGTTGACCTGGAGAGAGAGCAGTCTGGGTACCACACCAGATGAGATGAATTTGCAGCAGGAGTGGGGTTGTTTTACCCCGGGAAGTGAAGGTATATGATAATGCAGTCAGCCAATTGAAGGATTGTTTCCTGGATGGAGAGGTAAAGCCAGGTGACATTGGGAGGACTGGTTCTGCTAGGTAGTGAGTTCCCTGTTCCTGAAGGGACAGTTGGGATTTGTCATGTTCTCAGAGACGGGGCAAATGTGGTTCCCAGGGGTTGACTTCATGGACCAACAGGGGGAAGAAAAAAAGTTGAAATCTAATTATAAGGTTACCAACTTGTAGTTTTGCTAAAGGTGGACATTAGTTAAAAAAAACAAGAACCCGGAATCTACTTTTACTAGTATTTCATGAAAGGAAGACTATTCTGACACTAAAAATGTTGAAAGTACATAATTTCAGAGTCAAGGACAGCTCTTTAAATTGGATAGTGTTGAGTTTATGAAAATTTACACCTTCTCCATCCATGGACTTGGCTTTCCCCTCTGGCTGCACCTGCCCAGGTGAACTACAGTTAATAGTAATAATAACTGGTATTGCTGAGCAACAAATATTTTATATTTTTATCGTCTCTGCAATCAGGTAAGAAAAAACATCTCACCCACAGCCCCCCACCCCCTTTTTTTTTTAAAATAAAGAATGTTCCTGAGGCCCAGAAAAGTGAACAAACTAGCCCAAGGTCACACAGTTAATAAGTGACAGACAGGCCAGGTGTGTGTCGTTTCAGAGCCCACCTGGTTCCCTATTAGCCTGGAAGTCAGCAGGTTTGGGATGTAGTCCCCCTTCTCAGCTATATGACTTTGGGAGAATTATTTGCTCATTTAACGCACTTTCTTTTTTTAAAATTTATTTTTATTTTTTTTAAAAATATATTTTATTGATTTTTTACAGAGAGGAAGGGAGAGGGATAGAGAGTTAGAAACATCGATGAGAGAGAAACATTGATCAGCTGCCTCCTGCACACTCCCCACTGGGGATGTGCCCGCAACCAAGGTACATGCCTTTGACCGGAATCGAACCTGGGACCCTTGAGTCCGCAGGCTGATGCTCTGTCCACTGAGCCAAACCGGTTAGGGCTAATGCACTTTCTTAAGGGTCCACTTGGCAGTGTAGAAGGTGCTGGGGAGGATGTGAGATTCTCTCTGTCCTGAGTGAATGCCTAGCCGGTCGCAGCCAGGGTGGTGGAGCCTAGTATGAGGATCTCAGAAGGATGCTGGGGTCAGTGACTTGGGCTGGCCTGAAAGTATTTCCCATTCTTGCTCTATAGTAAGAACTACCCAAGACTCAAAATTTATGGTAGCTCCAGATGTTTCTGAGCCTCACGTAAGTCTGAGAAACTGTAACAGCAGCTGCTTATTAGCATCAGTTGGCTTGGACCTCTGATGATCCATCTGTAAAATGGGTACAGGGCAGTGCCAGGGAGGCAGTGAAGCAGGCTGGAAGTGAGGCAGAGGGCAGTGGAAACTGGGCAATTGCTGCTCAGCTACAACTAGGTAGGGTCAGGCGGGAATGTGGCCCGGTGGGCCCATCTTCTCATTTATCTTGGGAAGGAAGCAATTGAGATTGTCCTGTAAATTTTCCCCATTTTTGTAACGTGTGTGTGGGCGGTCCAACTGAACACTCCCCTGAGTCCCGATGCAACCCATGGCCTGCCAGCTACCAGGTCCCACAGAATTGAGGCCCTTCATGCTTCATCCTGGCAAACACAGACCTGGCTCAGCATGGAGGCAGGTCGATGCAGGGGAAAGAAGCAGGTGTGTGCGTCTGTGAGGTGCCCCTGAGTTCTCTGACCTTGGGTTTTACCCCTGCAGCAGCCACAAAGATAGGCAAATGTGTGTGTCGGCGGGAGCCTTTGGATTCTGAATTCTGAACATCTAACTTGTAGGCGAGACTCCATGTGTCCCTGCTGTCCTCCTGGCCTCCCTCAGGCCCCAGAGAACACCTGTGTCAGTAGGTTTTTGTGGGTCGCCTGCTTTCCTTCCACGAACTGGATCTGTCCCTTGTCGCGTGGCCTGAATAGCCTCTGTTATTGCTTTCATATTGTCGGTGACTCTGGCCTGGGAGCAGGAGACGGATGACTGGGCCGGCCCAGTCATCCGCCAGGGACACCTGCTCTCTCCTGCTTCCTTGGGGTGCAGCCAAAGAGACGCCATAGAGAGGGTGGGTACGGATGGGGCTCAGGAACAATATTATTGGCCCTCACTGATTCTTCTGGAGGTAATCGTTTCAGTAATGAAGCCAACGTGTGGAGGCACTCGGCAGTGACTGTAATCCAGGGGAGGCTGCCTGACCCACCTTTGAGGCCCTGGCTTGGGGAGGGACAAAGAGCAGGTAGAAGCCTTTACCTGCTCTAGTGGGAGAATGATGGGGAGTACAGGTTCCCCGCTTCCCTACTTGCAACAGTACCTCTCTTCTTTGCCCTCTTTGCTCACACGTGACAGTAACAGATGTAAGTCAGATGTGTCTACGATGCCACCTGCCAGGAGAGCAGGGAGAGGTGGGGGCTGCTCAGAGCCATTCACATGGGCACCGGGCTCTCCAGAGCCCTGCAGGGGAGACAGGGCCCCCGTGGACATCGGCCACAGTTGCTCACGTGGAGTGAGTTCTTGCTCACCAAGCTGCCCATATGGAGGTGGTGGCTGAGAGAGGAGCAGTCAGGTGCTCCGCGTCACAGGATAAGTCGGCACTGGGGACAGCCTCTAACTCAAGCCCCCGGACCTGGCCTTTCTGTAGGGCAGTAGGTGGGCACACTAGGCGCATAGGAACGGGGACCAGAAATCTTTGTGCCTGTTCAGGCTTCACCCCACCACATGCATCCACAGAAACCCTGTGCGCCTAGGTCCAGTGGTAGGAAATACTGCTTAAATAATGCCGATGATGGCAACAGCAGCAAAGGTAATAGTGTGGCTCCACGTGGTAGAAACATACAAATGTTGATGAGAAAATCAGATGGCACACGGCTGAGGCGGAGAGGCTGAGCAGATGGGGACACTGAGACTTTAAAGGCATCCGCACACAGGGTGTAAGTACAGGGGGAGGGGACAGAGACCCAGGTGGCTCGACAAGGGCACACCAGCAGACAGAGCTGCTCCCTCTGCCTCCCCAGAGCCAGAGACGCAGGGAGCTGACAGCACAAGCACGTGACATAAAAGCCTTCATTCCTGTGTTCTTGGCAGGCAGTCTTTCCCTGCTCTCCCCCCATGACTGCCAGCTCTGTCCCGCTGCCATCAGTGGCCTGTACCACTCTCCTCCCAGGGCACCTTTGCCTGGGCAGTGGGGACTGGCATGTGTTTGCTCAGGGGGAGCCAAGAGGCTGGAACAGCTTCCGCGGCACCTGGCTGGGGATCCCGGCTTGCCCCTTGCCTGTCCCCGGTCCCCTCTGCTCATCCTGTGTCTTTCACCGTGACTCTCTGACTCTGCCTGTCCTCGCTGCCTGAGTGTCTTGTTTCTCTGCGTTCCTCCCCCTCTGCATTTGCAGGCCTGTCTCCCGGGACCCGCAGGCCTGCTCTAAGCCTTTGATGCAGTGACAGTGCGCCGGAGCGGTTAAAAAACGGAGGCGCTGTCACTTACCGGCTGTGTCTTCATTCAGCAAGTGACTTAGCTTCTCTCAGCCTCGGTGTCAGCATCCTAAATGGGAGTGGATCGTATGTTACCTATCCCACAGACCTGAGCGGTCCCTTACGGTAGCCAGGAGCCACACGGAGGTGCGGCGAGCACTTGAAATCTGGCCAGTCCGAGAGTCGCTGACGGAATTTGGGGGCCTGCTTTGTCTCTGGCCTTTATGGACCGAGTGGAGGCTGACTCCCTGGGTTCCAGTCCTGCTAAGTGACTTTTCTTTTCCCTGCCTCAGTCTCCTCATCTGTAAATTGGTGATGAATAGAATATATACTTTTTCGGGATTTTGCAAGAATTAAATGAGTTAAGCCCTTAGACCAGTGATGGCGAACCTATGACACGCGTGTCAGAGGTGACACGCGAACTCATTTTTTTGGTTGATTTTTCTTTGTTAAATGGCATTTAAGTATATAAAATAAATATCAAAAATATAAGTCTTTGTTTTACTATGGTTGCAAATATCAAAAAATTTCTATATGTGACACGGCACCAGAGTTAAGTTAGGGTTTTTCAAATGCTGACACGCCGAGCTCAAAAGGTTCGCCATCACTGCCTTAGACCGTGCCTGGCCCAGGGAAGCACTCAGTTAGCATTTTCATGTTTACTGTGCCAGGCTTTGGGCTAGGAGCTCAAGGAGAGACGTGTCAGCAGCTCACAGGCCTTCGAGGGTTTTGATGGCAGAAGGTGGAATCGGGCAGGGAGAAGTGTCTGGTTCCTGCAGCCCTGACAAGATGTCACTTCTTAGTTGTGGCCCCACCTGAGACTGGCGATCCCTGGGATGTCCAGGAAGAGGCTCAAGGACATCTGAGCAGCCTGAGTGAGGGGTTTCCAGCTCCCTGGCCAGCACGGGAGGGCCTACGTCTCTGTTGGCTGCAGCCAGGTCCAAATCAGCACACGGAAGCCTTTGTCACCAAGGTCCTCAGCAGGTGGGGGCTGGTCTACAGCTGCCTACCACCCTACCTGAGCTAGCCAGCGTCACTGACTGCAGCGGCCCAGCTGGCTGCAGGCCTGAGTCCGGCTTTCTGCATCAGGCAGGCCTGAGCATCCTTCATCTTTACCCTGGGTGCTCACCTGGGCCTCCTGCGCCCTTCTACACACTGGCATAGGTGGGGCTGGTGACTGACCTTCTCTTCCCCTCACCCCCAGGCTGGATCCATGCAGTCTACACCCCTGTAGACTCTCTGGTATTCGGTGGAAACATCCTGCACAGCTTTAATGTGCCCATGCAGCTGCGGATTTATGAGATCGAGGACAGAACACGGGTAAGGCGGCTTCCTTCTCTCTGGGTGGGCGCGCCCAGCCCCTGAGCTCTGCTGAGATCAATGAGGGTGGACAAGTCATTCTGAAGCCTCCGCAGTGCCTCTTCCCTCCTGCTCCCTGCCTCAATCCGGGCCTTGGTCCTGGTTCTTTGGGATGATGGGTGCCCACAGGAGCCTCTCCCAGAGCCCTGGGAGTTTCTGTTCACCTCCAAGATGGTGGCAGCCAAAACCCCCTTGCCTAAGAGGAAGTGTCTCTTGAGAAAGCACCGTGACATGTCAGGCAGCCTGCCGCCTCCTCCTCACGTGGAGAAGGGATTGGAGGGAGTAGGGGGAATTTCGTGGTGGTTGTTGCTGTGGTTTGCAGGAGGGCTTGACCTTGGAAAGAAGGTCAGTCCCCTGGGAACCCCAAATGTGATGTGGAGCCTGAGGAAGCCAGTGTCTGTGATTCCCCCAGATGCTGCCTCTGAGATCTGTCTCAGTATCCACTGGGGGTGTCCCTAGCTCCCCTTGATAATGATGGTGATGGTTTCTCAGATATGGATCCCCCCCCCCCGACATCCACCCCCCACCTCCCCCTCGGGACTGGCGTGTGCTCTCTGCTCCACTCCATGAGTGTCCCCAGAAAAGCAGGTTCCAAGTTCCCCCTACTTGGAACTTGCTGCCCTCTTTCCTATGCTGGAACTTGACCAAGTGTCCCCAAGCATTTAAGACAGGTCCGAGGGTGGGAAACTGTGGCAAAAAGGGCTCATTCTTCTTCTTCTTTTTAAATTATAGTTATCAGCTATTTCTGTTCTTTATCGAGAGAATTCACATTTAAATTTCACCATTTAAAATGCACAGCTCAGTGGCATTTCGCACATTCATAAGGTTGTGCAGCCATCACCGCTGTCTAGTTCCAGGACATTCATCACCCCCAAAAAGGAGCCCAGTCCCCATTAGCAGTTACTCCCTGTTCCCCCTCCCCCAGCCTCTGGCAATCGCTAATCTGCTTTCTGTCTCTGTGGATTCGCCTGCTCTGGACATTTCGTATAAATGGAGTCATAATGAGGAGGTCTTTTGCATCTGGCTTCTCTCACTCAGCGTGATGACTTTAAGCTTCATCTCTGTTGTGTCAGTGCTTTATTCCTTTTCATGGTTGAGTAATACTCCACGGGATGGACGGACCATACATACCATATCTTCCCGGCTTTGCCACAGAGATGACTTTTTTTGCCCCAAAGATGGGTTGCTATGCTTGGAACCTAAAGAAAAATGTTATAGAGGTAGGCGCTCTGGGCCCAGGATTCACTTCTTTTTCAGTCTTGCTTTCTGGCCTCGATCTGCATGGAATCACATAGATGGGTGGAAGTTTTAGCCACTATATGTGCATCTGACCTTTTTAGCAGCCCTGACATTGAGGGACCCCATGCAGAGGTTTCTCAGGGGTCACTTTAGACACCGTAGCGGCCAGGTGCACAAAAAAAGAGAGGACGCATCTTCAGACAGTAGGTTTGCTGCCGGGGAGGCCCAGATCTGCACAGACTGGGTCTCATCTTGTGGACGTTCGTGCCTTGTGGACATTCTGTGGTAAGGGCTCCATTTGGGTGAGAGTGGTCATCTCAGAATCTGGACCACGTGCTGTCTGGGGCTCTGGCCGACTGTTCTTTGACTGGTCCCGAGGAATGGGCCAGCTTGTTTGTGAGCAGACTAGGAAGTGTGGGATAGGAAGGGAAAAATCTAGAACGAGAAGTCGGGCTCATGAGTTTCCAGGCTCAGATTTCTAAAAGCTTCAGCCAGTGGATTTGGGCCTCATCATCCCCTGAGGAGCCCAGGTCCCCACCCCACTCAGCAGGAGGTTGGGGGTGGGGGGAAGGTATTGGAGCTGAACACTGAGTACCCGTGGAATATCACACCCACATCCAGATGAGCGTGGCAGGGTCCCCTCCCCCAAGGCCCACTGTCCCTGTCATGTGAGCGGATACTCATCTGGCTTCCCCCCGAGCAGGTTGATGGGCAGCGGGGCTGGTGGGCAAGCTGTTCAACCTGCTTTGATTTCTGGTCCTTGGCGAGGGCTTGTCGACGAGGTCCAATTGTTCATGTCTTAGGAGCTAAGGGAGACAAAGGCTGCTGGGGAGAGAGCACTGGATGCCAGAAAAAGTGCCACGGCTCCTTGTCAGCTCGATACAGCTTAATTCTTTCCGTCACTGCGAGCTGCTGAAGAAGGATGTGGCCATTTAAAAATCGTTTTCCGGGAGTCCTAAAACATGGCTTTGCTTGGAAGCCAAATACTGGGGGCGGGACAGAGGACATGGTCCGTCTCTAAGCCTCATGGTGTGAGTTTGTCTTAGAAAAAGAATTTGCCTTCTGTGGCCCAAGGTGGGGGACCCCGCCCCCTCCCCCCCATCCAGACCAGGGGAACCTCATGATTCTCCTAGGTCTGGGAAGCCATGTCTTGCTCTCACAGTTTAAATTTTTCTGCGCCGGGTGATAGGTGACTTTACCTGCTGCCCCGAAGACAAGCACAAACAGGTGTTCTGGGACTGGTGGGTTTCCATTTCCTGCCCCCCTGTCCCCTTTGGAGATTAAATCTTTCCCCTCTCATTCTAAAAATATGCAGAGGGGTGGAAGGACGACAGCAAAGAATGGGCAAGTTGCATGCTTGTTATTTGAAGATAACGTCTCAACAACGATCACTATGTATTTTTAGCTCCAAGTAGGGATGGTCCCAACGATCATTAAACTGCCATCTCTCCTTTATTTACCTTTTTTTTTTTTTTCCTTTTCCCTAATGGTTCTAGGGAAAGCAGCCTTCTCAGGAAAGGTAATGCCCGCATGCCCCATTTCCTCTCAGTCAGTGAATCTCTTTGGAAATTGCAAATAATTTACCCTTCCTCTCACCTTTCTCCTACCATTGGATTTTTTTCCCCCCATTGCCTTTTTTTTTTTTTTTTTTTTTTCCAGGAGAAAAACAAAATTTTTAAGATACTTCCACCCACCCTCATATTTTAGCTTTTCAAATCCTGAGGCCTGGGAGTTCTTGGTGCCCCGAAATACCCGTGGTTCTAACCTCCTGTGGTCACTCTGCTGTAAGAGGAAGGGCTCAGGCCAGGTGCCACTCCAATGGGCCTTTGGGACCTCAGACTGGCCCCTGGAGGCCCGCTGACACCTGGATGACCCCGCAGGTAGGGAGCACGCGATGTTCCCTGAACAACCAACCGCCTTGCCTTTTGGTGAACCACTCAATTTGATGAAGCTCCGATTTTTGTCAACAATTAATGTTGAGCAATCGTGTGTTTAATGTTCCCAGGCATGTGGCTGAAACCTTTTGAAGGCGAAGGGTGGAAGGCGACAACCCGTTTGTAAGTCAATTCTTTGCCAATTTTGTTTCCTGCGGTGCTCTCTTGGAAAAAAAAAAAAAAAAGAAAAAGAAAAAGAAAAAAAAAATGAAAAGAATTTTAATTCCTTCATCAGCATTTGTTTTCACCCAGCTGGTTTCTCTTGGGCTCAGCAACAGTGAGGGGAGACTTACCTTCCTCTGCTGAAATACAGCCAAAAAGTTCCCTCCCCTCTAATCTACAAAGATTCTCGGGTGCCATGGTGCCCATCAATGCAGAATGGCTTGGATGATCTCCCCAAATTTGAAAAGTCAGAAGCGACTTGGGAGGTTTACCGATGGAGTCTAAAATCAGGAGATGTGGGTGAGGGTCTGAGAAGAGGAGGGCCTGTGTGTCCTCTGCTCTAGGTATTGGCAATTTGTTTCCCAATCGGTTGGCCTTTGTTCTGGAGTAGGGGTGGGGCTGAGACGCCCACACCCTTCTTCCCAGGAGGTCAGGGTCTGCCTCACGTGGAAGGGCCTCTCTCCTTTTTCAACTCCAGAGGGAACTGATCCGGTGACTGAAAAAAGGTCATTAGTCGCATGCTATTCCAGCAAGAAAGCTGGCCCCTGGGGAAAGTCGCTGGAGCCAAGGAAACCGCTAGATGACGTTCCCAACGCCATGCGTCCCCCACCCCCCGAGGAGCTCAAAAGCATGCGGCAGCCAGAAGCTCATTCCAAAGCTTACATCCACCAGAGGCAGGGAGGTCAAATGGACCCAATACGCAGATGGGAGCGGCGAGGCCCCAAATATGGGAAAAGGGCCTTGCGTCTGGAAACTGAATCAGCAGGGCCTGGATGGGGAACTGAGAGCTGAGACTCTCAAGAAGGGTGAGGTTGAGACCCTTTCCAGTGGGCACGGTGAGAGAGGCAGGAAAATAGTATTTAAGGGCACGTGGTGGACCTGGGCCTGCTTGTCTTTGTTTTCGTCTCTCATGTAGGATGTTGCCTGTTGATTGTCAGCAGAGAAAATTGGGAGAGTGTATTAACATCCGGCTCCCTGAGTAGAAGAGGTGGAGAGGGGTTCCCGGCCCCTGCACAGGTCCCTTGAGACAGACGCACCCTTGGTGAGAGGGCAGGCAAGCAGGAGTGAGTGTGGACGTGCAGTGTCTATATACAGCCTTCGGGGGGGAAGAGCAGCCAGAGATGGGAGAGGGACCACCCTCCCACTCCGTCAGTCCTCCCTTGCTGGCTCAGGATGCAGTTTCCGGAAGGTTCATCTGTGCTAGGGCCGTCAATGGTATTGCTTGCTTCCCATCTTTCGCTGCCATCTCACCCATATAGACCCTGCGTGCTACCTGCCACCCATCTGCATTCCCCTGGGTTCCAGGCCTTTTCATAGTTCTGATACACAAAGCTGTCGGCACCTATCCTTCGTCCCCTATAAGAAACAGCCAAGAAGGGATCTCTTGTCTGAACTCCTGCTCCAGACCTGGGGTGTGTCCCTTGGTGTTAGAGTTACGCCAGGAACTTGTGTCCAAGGGAGTCGCCAGGAACTTGTGTCCAAGGGAGTCGCCTGGGAATGCAGGCTGGGCAGTGCCAGGTGGTGGTGGAGAAGGAGCTGGAGGTGGACCCCTCTTAGGCCCCGCCCCCAGGGGTGGAGAGGCCACACCCCTCCATCCTCATTGGTCCGCCTGGTGAGGCCTTTCCCTCAGAGTGCAGGAGATGCTTGATAGATAGCCTGTCTGCACATGGACTTGGGTAAGGTTCCGGGATTGATTTCTGTTTTTCGGGGGAGGGTGGGATAGCAGAATCTGTGCAACAATTTTTAAGAACGACAGGAGCCCGTTTCTGTTGTAGCTGGAATCAGGCAGTGGCTCGCATTCGTGGGTGCCCGCACCCTCCTCAGCAGGCCAGGGGACAATGCTGTTTCTCGAAGCACAAAGCCGACCCCATCCGGTGGCGCGCAGCTCAAGGAACCTTGAAAGGCTCTCGCCTAGGCCTTTTCCTCCCCTCTCATTCGTGCATGCTACTGGTGTTCTTCCTCCACCCAGCGCCTCCCCCTTGCCCTGCAGCCCCTCCCCATTTTTTCCTCACACCATTTGTGCTCTTGCTAAGATGATGAAAATAACTCCCACCCCCAGGAGCCCTCACCCCCTCAATTCTCTCCCTCCTTTTCCCTTTGCCCTCTAGAAACTGACCTCCACCTTTGGGTCTTTGTTTTCAGGTGCAGCCCAAATTCCGTTACCCCTTCTACTATGAGATGTGCTGGTATGTCCTGGAGAGATACGTGTACTGTGTGACCCAGAGGTCCTACCTCACTCAGGAATACCAGAGAGAATCAATGCTGATTGGTGAGTGGACAGCGGAATCAACCACCTTGCCCGCTCAGCTGGGGCAGAAAACATTTTTTTCAGTGGGGCCCTGGAGAGTCTTTGGGTTCCGGGAAGTCTCTTGAGCCAGAGTGTCAGGCAGATTCCTAGAGACACCTTAGCTGGGAAGCCATCCTTGTCAGATTCCCACTTGGAATGCAGAGTCCAAGAAAACGAAATCATGACCCCAACCAAGTCACATTGATGGCCTCCAGGTCGCGCTGGTGACTGTGCAGATGTGGGAGGGGCTAGTCCTGGGCGTGATTGCGGAAGCAAGATCCTCACGGAGCAAAGCATCCCGGTTCTTTTTATTCCTCAGTAGCTACCAATGACCTTCCCCCTCCCTGTGCCCTGGGGGTTGGGTTTTTGTCCATATAAGAGCAGGCCCACAAGACGCAGCCAGTCCCTCGGATCCCAGGCCAGCTTTGAGCCAGCAGAGGGGTGACCAGGACTGGAAACACAAGCCTGGCAGGGCAGTGGGTGGCTCTCAGCAGCAGCTGTGGCGCCCTGCCCTGCTGCCCTTACTTAAAGGGACCTCCCCCCACCCCACCCCAGAATGCTCAGTCCTTGCGTCCTGACTCACAGACGCCTGCCCCAAAGCTGCGTCTAGCTCTGACAGCCCCACTTCTTTCCCTCTGCACCTGAGCTGTCACTGCTGCAGTTTTACTGGATGCGGATCTGCTGTGCCTCAATTATTGCATCTTTCTCAACACAAGATGGAAAAATGCAATAGGGCCACATGATTACTGCTGTTATCTCCAGGATTTTGAGATTATTTTTTCTCTATCGTTAAACCTCCTTCCTTCCCTTGACTCCCATCCTTAGTGCCTTTAGGGGTTGGTTCCAGGTGGGCATAGGGTCGGGAACATGTTTCTGCCGGGGTTTTATTGGGAAGTGCTCATTTGCCTCCTGAAAATTCAGTTTTGTTGGGGGTGGTGGTGGTCTGTTTTGAGTTACGTTCCTGTCAGATGATACGATATTCAGGTGTGAAAAATGCCGAAACCCTTCAACCTGCTCTTCTGAAGTCGCCAGCCCGGTAGGAGATGGAAATGATTTTGAGATAGCGTGAGAGCTGCTGTGATTGTAGTCGTGCCACGCTCCTGCGGGGACCGGAGGCTTGGTTTTGTGGCAGCCCCAGGTCAAGAAATGAGTCCCTTCTCTCACTGGGTATTTAGGGTTGGAGAAGAACATTCCAGATTCCGAGAGGCAATCCATATATATATATACATATATATATGTATATATATATAATTGATTTTAGAAGGGGGGGAGAGAGAGAAACATCAATGATGAGAGAGAATCATGGATCGGCTGTCTCCTGCACGCCCTCTACTGGGGATCCAGCCCACAACCTGGGCATGTGCCCTTAACTGGGAATCAAACCCTGACCTCCTGGTTCATACGTCGACGCTCAACCACTGAGCCATGCTGGCTGAGCCTGAGAGGCAATCTTGAATCAGAGTTTGGGTCATCGGTGCCCACTTTTTTCTTAAATTTTCTTGCCACTGTTTCCCCCACCTCTCTAGTCCCTCTACCAAGGAGAAGGGGGGATGTTAGGGAGACACACCTCATTGATCAAATGCTAGCTGTGTGCCAGGAACCGTGCTCTGCTCTGTGAGGCCTTATTTAATCCTCACAACGGAGGAAGTCGTCTTTGAGATACACACACACACACACACACACATGCACACACACACACAGTGGTGCCTTGACTTAACGAGTGTCCTGATTAACGAGTTTTTCGAGATACGAGCCGTCTCTCAGCTGATCTTTTGCTTTGAGTTGCGAGCTAAAATTTGGGTTACGAGCCAGCTTCAGATACCCCACCACTAGTTGGCTCAGCGAACGTCACAGTGAACGCCACAACATCAGCCCAGCATCACGTGTCTCACTCGTTCACTTTTTGATTTGACATACGAGTAATTTGAGTTACGAGTTCCGTCACGGAACGAATTAAACTTGTAAGTCAAGGCCCCACTATGTGTGTGTGTGTGTGTGTGTGTGTGTGTGTGTGTGTATACATGGTTCGATTTCTGCTCAGGGCATATGCCTGCGTTGCATGCTCGATCCCCAGTGTGGGGTGTGCAGGAGGCAATCAATCAATGATTCTCTCTCATTATTGATGCTTCTTTCTCTACCTCTCCCTTCTTTTCTGAAATCAATAAAGATAAATTTTTTTTTAAATATATTTTATTGATTTTTTACAGAGAGGAGGGGAGAGAGATAGAGAGTTAGAAACATCGATGAAAGAGAAACATCGATCAGCTGCCTCCTGCACATCTCCCACTGGGGATGTGCCCGCAACCCAGGTACATGCCCCTGACCAGAATCGAACCTGGGACCCTTCAGTCCGCAGGCCGACGCTCTATCCACTGAGCCAAACCGGTTTCGGCAATAAAGATAAATTTTTTAAAAAAGAAAAAAAGAAACATCAATGATGAGAGAAAATTATCAAAATGCACGCCCCCTACTGGAGATCGAGCACCCCACCAGGGCTTATGCCCTGACTGGGAATCAGACTGACCGCCTGGTTCATAGGTCAATATTCAACCACTGACCTACACTGGCTGGGTTGCCTTATATTTTTAAAGAGCATAATGGGGATATAATTCAAATACCATACAACTCACCTATTTAATGTGTTCACTTTAATGGTTTTCCGTTGTGCAGCCATCACCACAGTGAATTTTTAGAACATTCATCACCCCAGAGGGAAATCAGCAGTCGCTAATCTGCTTTCTGTCTCTGGGTTTTTCCGCTGTCTGGACATTCCAATGAGTGGAATCAGACATTATATATGCTCTTTTGTGTTATTTTTATATGTTGAAAATATAAAATGCCAGGTGTGTTCAGAGAGGTGAAGCATCTTGTGTGGGTACACGTGGCTGGAGGAAGCTGAGCTGGGATTTGAACCTGTGTCTGACTGACCCCAACCTTTCTAGAAGTGAGGGAGGCATAGACCGTTAGAACTATTCAGAGAAGCTCGATCTCCAGTGTAAAGGGGCGCGGGGGGGGGAGGGCGGGGGGAGGGAAGCAAGTGAATGGAGGTCACATGACTTTCAGCAGGGCATTTAGGGTGTTCATCTCAGTCTTCTTTTGTGATCCCTTCACCCCCACCCCCTGTAGATACCCCAAGAAAGCCCAGTATAGACGGCTTCTCATCTGATTCCTGGCTGGACATGGAGGAGGAGTCTTGTGAGCAGCAGCCCCAGGAGGAGGAGAAGGAGGAGGAGGAGGAAGAAGAGGGTGCAGATAAGGTGCCCAAGCCACCTGCTGATGGCCCTGCCTCACCCACCAGCATCCCCTCTGAGGACCAGGAGCCCCCCGGAAAGAAGCCCAAAGCACCTGCCCTGCGGTTCCTCAAAAGGACTTTGTCTAATGAGTCAGAGGAAAGCGTCAAGTCCATGACGATGCCCATAGACGACCCTAAGACGCCCACTGGCTCTCCCACCGCCGAGGTCCCTGCCAAATGGACCCACCTCACCGAGTTTGAACTGAAGGGCCTGAAAGCTCTGGTGGAGAAACTTGAATCCCTGCCAGAAAACAAGAAGTGTGTCCCCGAGGGCATCGAGGACCCCCAGGCGCTCCTGGAGGGTGTGAAGGTGGGCAGGGAGCCGCGTCTGGGGCTGTACAGCTGAGGGCTTGGGAGGATCTGTTCAAAGCATAGTTTCTCCAGGGCAGCTCAGCACAGGGTGGCTTGGAGCAGACCTTCCTTGGGACACATCCATGCACAGAGAGGGGCCTCTGGTCCAAGTCAGCTCATCCAGGGAGTCCGAGTGGAGACTCTGCTGGAAGACGGCTTTGTGGTTGACAATGAGTTCTTTCTCGCACTTGTTGGAATTTGAGGATTTGCCAACAGTAGTCGCTAAGGGAGCATCATGAGTGCTGCCGTTGGTTTTGGGGACAGACTCCGCCATCCTGGTCGGGGAGACTTGTGTTCTGGGTTGGCTTCCTCTGGAACATGTATCCGTTTCACATGAGCCGGTTGTACATCCTGGTGAGCCTCAAGGTGGCCAGCTAAAGTGGGCCGCCTGGCCACCTGGGGTCCAGAGTTCTCCACGTAGTAGAGCCTAATTATTGGTCTAACTTTCATTGAGCACCAGCTGTGCTATCCATTGGGGAACAGAAGGCAGAGGGCCGTAGTCACTGCCCTCGGGAAGTTCACTGTTTAGCAGCGAAGCAGGCAGGTGAAGAAATCAGGAGACAGAGAATGAAGTGCCACTGAGCATGCCGTGTGTACCCTGAGCATGGGAGCTGGCCAGGGCTCTGGGGTAGTTATGCAGAGGGCATTTGAGCTGGGCTTTGAGGCGGCATAGGAGTCCTCCAGATGGGGAGGGCTGCAAGAGGCAGAGAGCTAGTGAACAGGTGTTTTAGAAAAAGGAAATACACTGGGCAGCCTTGTCCTGTTGTCATCATAATCCTAACATTTGTGGAAAGCTTACTACTTACCAGGTACCAGTGCTAGGTAAATGGTAGTTACCCTTATTATCTGCCCTTACAGGATGAGGAAGTAGTTTCAGAAACGTTAAGGGACGTGCGTGAGGTGACAGAGCAGGGATGAGGACGCAGGAATGCCTCCAGAACTCCTGTGTGGATATGCTCCAGGAACTCCCTCCTGTCAGCATGGCTAAGGCTTTTCGGAGTGAAGCTTCAGAGGCATCTGAGCTTCCTTCTCCAATGTCTGGTTCCCAAGAAAATCCAGCTGCCTGCTGGGGTTTGAAACGGAATTTAAGTCTCTTTTTTTGAGGTGTGCAAACTCTGCCCAGGGTGTGTTAATTAGTTCAGTTATTCGTTTAGGAAACATTGTGTGTGAGGCCTTGGGATATAGAAATACTAGAGGCCTGATGCACGAAATTCGTGCACGGGGCTCGGCCCTCGCAGCCGAGGCTTTGTCCAGAAGGTCGTCGGAAGGTCCTCCGGTCTAATTAGCATATCACGCTTTTATTATTATAGATTAAGACTGTCCTCCCCTTGGTGCTCTGTGACCAGGGGTCTAGCAGAAGTGAGACCCGGGGCCTACGTCAGGTAGTCTGACAGATACCACCAGCAGGGGGAGCCAGTATACGAAATCACTAATCCAGATACATTTCACTTTGATAGAGCAGGTACATCTTCTATAGGGGTTGTGAAATTAAAGTTTTATAATTTTTGGCTTTAGAAATCTTAAACTCTATGGTGAGTATTTCTGTAAAGCAAGTCTTTACTCGCTAATGGTTTTTTTCATTGATTCTTGACTTTTTTAGAGGTTGCTGGCCTCTCTTGAGATTTTTATGAAAATCTACTTATACACACAAAATTGTGCATGCAATGTCAGGGGGTCTTGGACAGCTGAGCCTGTTCCCAGACCTCAGGTTAAGAACCCCTCATCTTGTGGCAGGAGTTTTGTATATTGGGTTCCCCAGAGGAAACCTGAGAATTCTGTCTTGTGGCTACGTTATTCTTCTGAGGTCCTGTAAAGTGAGAATAAGGTATAATTAATAATTCAGTCATTAATAGTATTAGGCTCCGAAAACATTGTAATTGTTAAAAACACATTCATTTCAAGAGGAAGTGCTGTGGAGAGCCTTTTTCCTTTAAAAGTATCTTGTGTGTCTGACCTGTTTATGTGCAGTGTTCCTGATTCCTGGTTGGTTATATTTCTTTCTGGGAGTGGGACTCGGCCCCTCCTCTCTCTCACCTACATCCACCTGATAGACCTCTGAAGGCCTGGATTCAGCCTCAGTGGTGTTTGGCCTGCACGGTAGTAAACATTTTTTTTGTAATTAGTTGCCAACATTTCGCATACAATGTCCTGGCTACCCTGGCCCATGTTCCTGAGTGGCGGCAAGCAGTGGTGAGTGAGTGGCAACTGACTTCACACACCGCAGTCCCCACCACTCCCTACTGCCTCCCTGAGTGTGTATTGTCCACTAGGCCGGCACATCTCTTTTTCATATAATCTACTCACTTAGCTCATTTGTTGAACTGGACAGTCTTTAGAGATATTTATGGTCCTGAGCCTCGTCTGAGGAGGCCCTTGTTAGGCTAAGGAGTTTGTAAACTGGGTGGACAGGCCTCCTAGAGCCCCAGGAGCATTGGAGCTTCTGCGAGCATCTCTAAATGCTGTGTGGCCAGGAGCCTGAATGGGTGAAGTGGACCCGTGCTGTCCTCTGGAATAGGGGACTTCCTGTCTGTCTGGCCAGGCTACCAGTCCCTCACGGTCTCTGGCGACCCAGGAAAGATTTTTGAAGCCAAAACGAACCTTCCAAGTGAGAGTGTTGTCACAGAGGGTGAGCAACTTCTTCCTGGCTGCACACCCAGGGCTCCCCCTGTCCTCTCTTCCCAGATGTTGGGGGTTCTTTTGCACTAAGAAATAAAACACAGCTCAGGAATGTGGGTCCAAGGCAGAATCCTTAGCTGGTCCCCCTGCTGCCACTACCAGTGAGTGAGTCCTGTTTCTGACCCCTGGTGTTCGTCCTTGGTGCTTGCCCAACCTTTGGCTTGTGTTACAAAAAGGCCAGGTCTTCTCTCCTTCTCTCCGTTTCCCTAGGACCTCCGGCTGCTGCTCACCAAGGCTCACAGTAACCAGAGCCCCTGGGATTGGACACAGTCCCCGAAATAAGTCCGTCTCCAGATGGCTAGGTTTTGGCTCTTATCAACCACCCATTTTTCCCTTTCATTTGTATTTTTTTAAAATTTATCTTCATTGTTGAAAGTGTTACAGATGTCCCCACCGCCTCCCCATTGACCCCGTCTAGCCCATACTCCCCCCACCCCAGGCCTTCACCACATTATTGTCTGTGTCCATGGGCTATGCATATATGCATATAGGTTTTTTTCTGGTTAATCTCGTCCAACCTGTATTTTTGTATTTTTTTGATTTAGACATTTAAGGAACTTGATCAGAGACTTCTGGTGAATTGTGGGTTGAAGGTTGAGAGAAGAAGGAAGGGACATGGTGGCTCCTTCAACGTTCGTTTTCTCTGGCTGGTGATGAAGGGTGTTGTGGAAGGAACACTGGATTGAGAGTCAGGTTTTACCTGTGTGATTTGGGCTTCCCTTTGAACTCCTCTGAGCTTAATTTTTCTCATTTATGTAGTGGAACTAAACCTCTTACGTTGTCTGCTGTCGAAATGCCCAAAAGGCCAAATGAGGACAGGCATTTGAAATCATTGGATAAACTATAAAAATAAACAAGGTAAAGTGTAGGTCTTTGTTGAACAAAGAGGCTGATGGGAACTGGGGAATGACCAGTGACCTGTTATAGGAAAGAATGGTTTGCGCATTTTTGTGGAGTAGACATTTGGTGCTAATGTATGCACATTAGTTGATTTTGTTTGGCTGGGGGTCAGATGGGGCTCCCTGATGGTGTGCCGTCGATGACAGAAACAAGAAAACCACCTGGCTCAGTACCGTGATCCTTCCAGAATGGAACTAAAGGAGACAGGCTCTGAGAGGCACAGTTCCTCACCCACACTGTAGAGGTGTGGTAAATCCATCTCACAGGGTGGCCGAGAAGATCGGGTGAGAGAGTGGATCTGAAGTAGTTGTTATGGTGCCCGGCAGAGAGAAAGTACTCAGTACATCTCACCCTCAGACATTCGTGCGGTACCTGCCCTCCTGCTGTTTACATGGGCGCCCCTCACCCAGCTAGTCCCACCTGTCCCGAGTGATGGACAGAGATGAGGAGGGGACAGGTGTGGTAAGTACTAAAGGATAGGACGTCTTCGGTGCATTTGAAAACAATAATTAAAAATTGAAACTGATGAAAAGTTGGTTGGCTTAATATTATCGTCAGGACGTTGGCAATTCTAAACAATGTCCTCCCCTCGGTACACATAGTTCCCACGGTCCCCCCAACCATTGGTAGCCTTTCTCGGTGCCCCATGTGAAGTACCCACCAGAGTTGAATCATGTCCATATTCTTGGTTCTTTCTGTTGTATTTCGTTTTTTAAAAAAAATATTTTTAGCCCTGACCGGTTTGGCCTCGTGGATAGAGCATCGGCCTGCGGACTCAAGGGTCCCAGGTTCGATCGCGGTCAAGGGCATGTACCTTGGTTGCGGGCACATACCCAGTAGGGAGTGTGCAGGAGGCAGCTGATCGATGTTTCTCTCTCATCGATGTTTCTAACTCTCTATCCCTCTCCCTTCCTCTCTGTAAAAAATCAATAAAATATAATTTTAAAAAAATATTTTTATTGATTTCAGAGAGGAAGGAAGAAGGGAGAGAGAGGTACAAACATCAATGCTGAGAGAGAATCACTAATCGGCTGCCTCCTGCACGCCCCACACTGGGGATTGAGCCCACAACCTGGGCAATGTACTCTGACTGTGAATCGAACCTCCTAGTTCATAGGTTGATGCTCAACCACTGAGCCACACAGTCGGGCTGAATTTCTTTTGAAATATGTACATGGTAGAAAAATGGGTACCCTACACATTCTGTTTTACCTTATTGTAACTGTTACTGTCTACTTGGCATTTTAAAAATTATTTTTTATCAGTAGACTTTGTTTTAGACTTACAGAAACATTCAGCAGGTAGTACAGTTTCCATATACTCTGCACATACCCAGTTCCCCCTATTGTTAACATCTTACAGTACATTTGTTACAATTAATGAGCCAGTGTGGATACGTGGTTATAACTGAAGTCTGTAGTTTGTTCACATTGCCTCAGTTTTTACCTCTGGCCTTTACCGGTTCCGGGATCCCACCCAGGACACCGTATTACGTTTCCTCTTGGCTGTGACAGCTCTCAGACTTCCCCTGTTTTTATTGGCTGTGACAGATTTGAGGCGCACTGGTCAGGCATTTCGTAGAAAGTCCCTCTTTGGGAATTTGTGGCTTTGTTTATTTATTTTCAGTTATTTACTGGAAGCTTACTATAGGTTCGTCATTGTGTGTGGCTTTGGGGATATAACAGTGAGCCAAGACATTTACAAGCAACATTTACACCTTAGTGACATGGACTCAGTTTCTTCTGAGCGTGTGGGTGGCGGGTGGGTGGTGGACTTTGTGGAGAGCTCTCAGGGTGTTTCTAACTGGCTTAGGTGTGGCCTCCAGCCCCCTCCAGAGGTCTTCCCCCCCTACCCTGGGCTAATATGGCTCCTTTGTTTGGCCACAGAATGTCCTGAAGGAGCACGCTGATGACGACCCCACTCTGGCCATCACTGGGGTCCCCGTAGTCACCTGGCCAAAGAAGACTCCAAAGGTAAGACGCAGGTTGCCCGACGCTGGGGGACCATTTCCACGGCCTTTCACATCTGTATGGTGAATGTTGACATTTTCAGGAGGGATTCCTGAGAGAGGGCACTCCAGTTAAGATGGTTTTAGTGGTTTGTTCATTGCAAGTGTTTGGTTTTCGAAAGGGATCATTTTCCCTAGCGTGAGAATTGCAGGCAGTGCCTCCTGGTGGTCACTCAGGAAATGGGGGGAAGTGATGCCTCACCTTTCCCTGCGGTGAGTTTTCTTCTCCTTCCCTTTTTTCTTTCTCTCCCGACCTCTGCTTTTTTTCTTCCAGCGGCTTCGTGCACTGTTTTCTTTTGAAAGTGAATTTTTTCTCTTTATGAAATTGGTGGATGCTTACCGTAAAAAAAAGTCTAATCAAACAGGAAAGGATAAAGACGCTGGGAAGAGCTCTAGCTGGTTTGGCTCAGTGGATTGAGCATCCGTCCATGGACTAAAGAGTCATGGGTTTGATTCCGGTCAAAGGCATGTACTTCGTTTGCAGGCTTGATCCTTGGCCAGCCCTGGTAGGGGCAAGTGCGGGAGGCAACCAATCGATGTGTCTCTCTCACATCGATGTTTCTTTCTCTCTGTCTCCCCCACTCCCTTCTACTCTCTCTAAAAATCAATAGAAAAATATCCTTGGGTGAGGATTAGCAAAAATAGAAAAAAAGACACTGGGAAGAATACTAGAGACATCTCTAGAACTTGTGGGGAGCAGGTTGCTCTCTGCCTAGTCTTCTACCTCCCTTATCTTTTTTTTAAATTGTTTTTTTTTTTTTTTTTTTTATTTTATTTATTTATTTATTTATTTATTTATTTATTTATTTTATTTTCTCCCTTATCTTATTTAGACCCCACCTCAAAGTCCACCATCCAGAGAAAACCAGTCAGGTTTGGGTGTGTCTCCTGATGGCTGTGTTAGGCTGCGATTCATGTGTGTCAACCCATCCATCTACCATCAGTCTGTCTGCACTCAGCTCCACTACTTTCTTAAGCAAGTTATATATGCCCCAGATCCTTACCATCCTCATTTGTAAAAAGGGGTTATACCATATATTCTTTGAATATACTATATATTCGGTGAGGATTAAATGAGATAATGCACACAAAGTCCGATGGTTAGGGCTCTCCAAATGTGAGTTGTAACTTCAGCAACCTTCCTCCTTGATGGGTATTTTGCTAATTTCTGATTTATTTTAATTTAATTAATTAATTTATTTTTTTAAAATATATTTTATTGATTTTTTACAGAGAGGAAGGGAGAGAGATAGAGAGTTAGAAACATCGATGAGAGAGAATCATCGATCAGCTGCCTCCTGCACATCTCCTACTGGGGATATGCCCGCAACCCAGGTACATGCCCTTGACCGGAATCGAACCTGGGACCCTTCAGTCCGCAGGCCAACGCTCTATCCACTGAGCAAAACCGGTTTCGGCTAATTTTATTTTTTTGCCATTCTGTAAATTACTGAGAGTAACATTCTAGAGATGCGCTTTCCAAAATGGTAGCTACTAAGCTGTATGTGATTGTTGAGCACTCGAAATATGGCGAGCAGTGCTGTAAGTGTAAATACACAGCAGATTTCAAAGATTTATCCCAAAAAAGAACAGTGCAAAATATCTCATTATTTTTTATTGATTGCTTATTGAAATTAGGGTTGTCAGATTTTTTTAAAAGATGCCGATTTATATTTGATTTTCAGATAAATAACAAAATTTCTAATGTAAGTATATCCTATATATTACATGGGATATACTTATGCTAAAAAAGATTATTCATTATTCATCTCAAATGTACTTGGGGGTACTGTAGTTTTTTAAAATCCTCACCAAAGGACATGCTTGTTGATTTTAGAGAGAAGAAGGGAGAGAGAAACATCAATGATGAGAGAGAATCATTGATCGGTTGCCTCCTGCATACTCCCCACTGGGGATCGAGCCCACAACCTGGGCATGTGCCCTGACTGGGAATTGAAACGTCAACCTTCGGTGCCCAGGATGCCACCAAACCAATCGAACCACACCAGCCAGGGCTCTTTCTACCTGTTTAAATGTGGCTACAGTAAAGTTTAAAATCCGTATGTGGCTCACATTCTGTTTCTATTGGACAGTGCTGCTCTGGGTTATTCTTTTTACTTTCGTTTATCTCCTTAGGGTGTATTCATTCCTAAATGGGGATCCACTGGGGAAAAGGGCGCTCATTCCTTGTGGGTATTGGATTCTAATACTCTGAAGCTTAGTGGGAATTTAGGAGGCAGTGGGAATGGAAAAGAATTCGCCTCCCTAACTTCCGCCTTTAGGTCCCCAGTCCATGGAAGCATTTTAAAATTGGCTTTCCCCGACATGGGCAATAAATATAAATGCCATTTAGCAGACCACAAACTGTTCTCGCAGACCTAGCACCTTGAAACAGCCCAGCCAGGCCCCACAACTGTGCTGAACCTGAAGAGGAAACAGTGGCTTTGCCTCACTGCCTCCAGGGGGAGGAGTAGGGTTTGCAGAATGTGGGCTGTTAAAGAAACAAACTTACCGCTACCCACTGCCATCTCAGAATCCATGGAGAGGTCCAAAGGGGGAAGTCACTTCAGGACTACAGATGTCCCTGTCGTCTCTGCCTGAGCCCTCAGCCCGCTCCTCAGGGGCCCATAGACATTAAAAAAAAAAAAACCCACACTTGAACATCTGCCCCCCTTTCCTCCAGAGGCCTGGAAACGGCAAGCTGCTTCTGGGGGAGTAGCCCTGATCCCAGGAGGGCCCTGACCCCGAGAAGGATCGGTTATAAGCACCGGTCTATACCCAAGTTGGGCCTGGATAGGAAAAGTTGGAGCCCTTAGGCATCTGGGAAAGAGGGAGTAGGAGGGAGAAGGAATAACCTTTGATATTCAGCAACACGTATGGGGTACCAGCCATTTTTTAATAAAACAAATGTCATTCACATACCATACAGTTCTCCCACGTAAAGTGCACAATGAGATGTTTTTAGTATATTGAAAATGTTGAAAGAGTTGTACAAACCATCACCACAATCTAATTTTAGAACATTTTTGTACCCCCTTCCCCTAAGCTTTTTTTTTTGGTTTGTTTGTTAATCCTCACACAAGGATATTTTTCCATTGGTTTTTAGGGAGAGAGGGAAAGATAGAGGGAAACATCAATGTGAGAGAAACACATCGATTGGTTGCCTCCTGTATGCTCCCGCACCAGGGCCCAGGCTGGGGAGGAGCCTGCAACCGAGGCACGTGCCCTTGACTGGAGTCAAACCCGGGATCCTTTGTTCTGCAGGCTGACGCTCTATCCCCTGAGCCAAACCAGCTGGTGCCCCCTAAGCTTTCTTTTCCCAGCCATCGCTAATCTACTTTCCTTCTCTATGGATTTGCCTATTCCGGGCATTTCATAGAAATGGAATCATACAGTATATGGCCTTGTGTGATTGGCTTCTTTCACTTAGCGCAACATTTTTGAGCTTCATCCAAGTTTAGCATGTATCAGTACTTTATTCCTTTATAGGGCCGAGTAATATTCTATTGTATGGCCACATAGCATATTCTGTGCGTCCATTCATTTGTTGATGGGCTCTTGAGCTATTTCTACTTTATGGCAATTGTGAATAGTGCTGCTCTGAACATTTGTGAACAGGTTTTTATGTGAGCCCGTGTCTTCATTTCTCTTGGGTAGATACCTAGGAGTAGAACTAGCTGGGCAGATGGCACCTCTATGTTGAACTTTGAGGAACTGGCAGGCAGTTGTCCACAGTGGCTGCCCCTTTCTCCCTCCCCACCAGCTGTGTACGAGGGCTCAGATTTCTCCACATCCTCACCACTTATTGTCTGTCTTTTCGATTAGAGCCAAGCCAGCTCGGTCTTTTTCTTTTTAATTTAGTTTATGTTTTCTATCATTTCTTTGAAGTTTATTGTATGAGTCTGGCAGGGCCACCCTAACAACGTACCACAGATCACGTGGCTTAAACGACAGGAGTTCATTTCCTCACCGCCCCGGAGGCCAGACGTCTGAGATCAGGGTGTCAGTTGGCAGGATCTGTGTATTTCTTCCGAGGACTGTCTTCGGCGTGTAGATGGCTGCTGTCTCTGTGTCTTCACATGGCCTTCCCTTTCTGTGTATCTGTGCCCCAATCTCCTCTACTGGTAACGACAAAGCCATACTGAATTCGGGCCCCACCATAACGACGGGTTTTAACTTAGTTACCTTCTTAAAGACATATCTCCGTTTGGAGGTGCTGGAGGTTCAACATAGGAATTTGGGGATTGGGCACAATTCAGCCCACAGCATTTATTGTAAATGATTTCAGAGTCCAAAAAGGTATAAATAATAGACTAATGAATACCATGTGCTTCCCCCGGCCCCCAGTTCTAGAAATAAATGATTGTCAGCTCAGCCCACGTCCCCTGGGTGTTGCTCCTCAGTGTATGTACCAGTGTTTAGATCTTACTTAACCCTTACAAGGAGGTTAGGAGGTGGGTAGTCTTATCCCCATGGAGCCGTGGAAGCTGGGGACTCGGAGAAGGGCCCTGGCACGCTTGGGGCCACGCAGCTTGTGAGTAGTAAGGCGTTTCTGTCCCCAGACGTGTTTCTCTGCTCGGAGGAACTCAATGAAATGTGGCAGAGAGAAGTGGGAGAGGGGGCCCGGTGCTATATTTATGCATTTCCTGGCCCGCGAGGTTAAAAAGTTAACGGGAACGGAAGAAGTAAGTAAACGACTGACTGCCTGGGCCGCCCGGGGTCTCCTGATTCCCAGGTTTGCAGCCGGCTCCTTCTCAATTTCATGCAGGTTGGGTTGAAAGATCAAGGGTGCTCACTGAGGCTGTCAGGATGCGAGGTAGGGAGCAGCACAGGGTCTGGGTCGGGTTACTTAACAAGTAATTAATGAGAAATGATGATTAGCTGGAAATGCTTTGATCTCCCACCTTGGCTCCTGCAGAACGGGGTCCTTTTCTGGAAGTGATTAGGCGCTGTGAGGTCATTTCT